GTAGAGCATCACTGATGATCGCAGATGTCGTCGACCTCTCTCCTTCACTGTGTGAGATGGCCAGGAAACGCTTTGCCCGCCTTGGCTGGACAAACGTCAAGGTCATCTGCCAGGATGCGCGTGCATTTCGCCTTCATGAACACGAACCGCAAGCCTATGAGCGCAAGGAAATAATCTCTCAAGGTCAAACTGTTCGCGACCTCGACGAGAATGCAGATGCAGGTGGTGCTGAGCTCGTCACCATGAGCTATGCCTTGAGCATGATACCCGAGTTCTACCCCGTCATCGACTCGATTGACAGCTTGATGAGTCCAAATGGTGTTATCGGCGTTGTCGACTTCTACGTACAGAACCAGGTCGACTTCATGGGTAGAAACTACATGGGCGGTGCTATCGACCGTCACTGCATGTGGATCTCACGTGTATTCTGGCGGACATGGTTTGAGATTGACCGCGTAAATCTTGAGCCTGCGCGACGAGTATGTCCAATCTCAGCGATATAAGAATAACTTCTGACAGTTCGTAGGATTATCTTGAGTATCGGTTTGGCACGGTCCTCAGTATCAATGCTCGCAACAACTTCTTCGGCACTGGCATCAAGCTCCCTTACTTCATCTGGCTGGGCTGCTCGAAAGAACACGGCGCGTCTACACAGAAGCTTGCTGAGATCGATGCGGCCGCTACCGAATCGCCCTACCTTACGGCTCTTGACCTACAAACAGGAGCTACACAGACGGACGTCGAAGTACATTCAAAAGCCTACGAATCCGCAGTCGTGAACCTCCAATCCAGTCTACCTCTCCCAGCAACATGGTACCAGAATCACCACTGGCGCATCCATTACGATTCCGCCCTTCCCAAGCATACCCGTTTCAACAACTCCTACATCTACGCCTTCACCTGGGAAGACGACGTAGCAGATATGCGCCTTCTCAAGCCCACTTCCAACGACGTCGTCCTTGCTATTGGCTCAGCCGGCGACAACATCCTAGCCTTCTGTCTAGAAAACTGCCGCCGTGTCCACGCCGTCGACCTCAATCCCAGCCAAAACCACCTTCTCGAGCTCAAAGTAGCCGCCTTCACAGCCCTTCCTTACCAAGACGTGTGGAAACTCTTCGGCGAAGGCAAGCACCCCGACTTCCACAATCTCTTGATCCAGAAACTCAGCCCTCACCTCTCGTCCGAAGCTTTCCAGTTCTGGCTGCACAATGGCCCGTCCGTCTTCTCATCCTCGTCGTCAAAGGGTCTCTACTACTCTGGTGGTTCGGGCAACGCCATCACAATGTCAGCCTGGCTCTTCCACATCCTAGGCATGACATCCGACGTCCGTAAACTCTGCACCGCACAAACCCTAAATGAACAACGAGAAATCTGGCAACGCTCCATCAAAACCGTTCTCCACTCCAAGATCCTCACCTGGGCCATACTCGGAAACGAAAAGTGGCTTTGGAAAGCCCTCGGCGTCCCGCCCGCCCAACGAGCCGTCATCGAAGCAGACTTCAAGAAGACGGACGATTTCGAGGTGCCATCATCGCCGTCACAACAACACACGAAAAAGGATTCGGCGGCCGACTACATGGCCTTCCACGAAGAACCCTCCGACGACGCACTAAAAAGCAGCAGCGGAAATGCAATCTATGAATACGTACTCAACACCTTCGAGCCCGTAATCAACACAACACTCCTCTCCACATCAAACCACTACTACCTCCTCACCCTCCTCGGCCACTACACACCCACCTCACACCCCACCTACCTGTCCCCGAAATCCCACGTCAAGCTCAGTAAACCAGCCGCCTTCAACGGCCTGCGCATCCACACGGATGAAATCTCAGAGGTGATTAGTAGAATGAGACCGGCGACGTTGACTATTGTCGTCGTCATGGATAGTATGGATTGGTTCCCGCCGCAGGGGAACCAGGCGGTCAAGCAGATTAGAGCACTGAATCGCGCGTTAAAGGTCAAGGGAAGGGTGATGCTGAGGAGTGCGGGGTTGGAGCCGTGGTATATCAAGGTGTTTACTGAGAATGGGTTTGGGGCCAAGAGGGTGGCGGTCAGGGTGCCGGGTAGTTGTATTGATCGGTAAGTTTGATTCTTGGTAAGGGGTGGTGGTAGTTTGCTAACGTTTCGATAAGTGTGAATATGTATGCGTCGACGTGGATATGCACAAAGGAGGCGGGGATTGGACATGAGGATGTCAAGGCGGGGTCGCCGCGGCTGAGGAAAACGAGTTTGGCTGAGTTGAAATTGGAGGCTCCTGCTCTGCGTATGGAGTAGGCTTGGTTTCCTGCCTCTCTCGGCCTCTTGTTTGTGGCCTTATCTCATAGCATGGGTGGGCTATCCGTCGTTCCTTTTCTTTGCACATCAGAGCTGTTCTCCCCCCACATTAGTCGGTCTTGTTGCTAGATACCTAGAATTCATTTCTTTGCGTGCCATGTTCAACTGTGCACGCGTGCATAATGGTGTTTATCTTTTCTCAATATTAAAGATATAGCATCTTGGCATGCTTCCTGCTACGTGTACACATCAGCCGTTATCGTGCCAGCACCCTCTCCTTATAGCATAGCAACCCCGAGTTGCGGACATGAGAGCCCGAAGTCTATTGCCGACCTAAAGAAAAAAAGCGCCCATGTCTTGAATGATAGCCTCCCCTCCCAATATAGAGGACCATAATCCGACGAAGTGAAAGTAGACGGTCGGTCGAAGTCGAACGACTTAGTTGGCAGAGTACCGTGTCTTTCCAACGGTAAAAGGGACGTAGCGGTACTTGATCATATGCTGAATCTGTCGTCGCACTAGACGCTGTTAGCCCTCGCCCAATACTCGTAAAATGCATGTCCGATTCCCACTTACTCGTCAACCCAAAAAGAATCAACCAGTACACCACCAGCACCGGCCAGAAAACCGGCAGATTGAATATCTCGAACCAGCTGCAGAAGAATCCAATGGCAATGGCCTTTGTGGTTGAGTACCAAAACTTGAATTCGGGCAGCCTCCTCACAAAAGGCCTAAACTCCTGATCCTCCTTGGTAGGCAGTCCACTTGCGCCCGCGGTCCCGTCTTCCATGCCCTCATCCTGCTCGAGCGCGGGGTCGAACTTGGGGGACAGGAAGGCGAGGAAGAGGTTGAGGAGGTAGATGCCTAGCGAGTAGGCAACAATGTACCAGCCCTGTGCGAAGAAGATGCGCAGGCCGAAGAGGAAGAAGAGGAAGCCCGTGCCACCCCATCTGTAGGGAGTGTAGGGCGTTGACTTGTCGAGGTAGGTTTGGAACATGCGGCCATATTTTGTGGTTTGCGCCGTGACGGCGCTGAAAGGGGTGTCTGGTTCGGGGGAGTCCATGGCTGTTGTCGCTGTCTCACTTGGAGGTGTGGGGTGGTGAGATGGAGATGGCGACGGCGGGGAGTCGAGTGTGTGTGCGCGCGGGGCGATGCGGGTGAGTGAAGAGGCGACGTTCTTGTTGAGGGTATCGTGTCAAAAAGTTCAACGGCGAACATCAATACGTCGCAAGGCTGGGGCTTAGATCGCCGCCCCCCAGCGCTTGGACCAACGTAGCTTCCCCTAGCGTAAGGTGGGATGACGGGCATCTTTTGGCGGGCGTTGCGCGACTTTGCCGAGGTGCCGATACTACCCACTTGTATGGTAGCTTCTGAGCTCATACCTACTCTCTTTCGATGTAAACACACGTTGCCTGAGCTGGACTGCAAGTCGGAGCTCAATTTACTACACTCAAGATGCAGGCACTACGATCAGGACCGAGAGCGGCGTCTCAATTCCGGTCAACGGGTCTACCCCGACTCCTAAGGGGATATGCCACGCAGAGGTCATTCGAGCATCTGCTTGTGTCGGAGGCTAAGCCTGGCGTTGGCTTGAGTATGTTGCCATCGCCATACTCTCTGAAAAATAGTATCTGACCCATGCCCCCAAGTCCAAATCAACCGCCCCAAGGCCCTCAATGCCCTCTCCACCCCACTCATCCTCGAGATCAACCAAGCCCTCCGCGACTTCCAATCCGAAAAGTCCATCGGCGCCATCGTCCTCACCGGCTCTGAAAAGGCCTTTGCAGCAGGTGCCGACATCAAAGAAATGAAGGACCTCACTTTCAGCGACGCATACGGTAAAGACTTTATAGAATCCTGGTCCGACCTCGTCACCTTCCTCAAGAAGCCTCTGATCACGGCTGTGAACGGATATGCGCTGGGTGGAGGCTGCGAACTCGCCATGATGGGCGACATCATGTACGCAGGCCCCAAAGCCGTCTTTGGACAACCCGAGATCAAACTAGGCGTCATACCTGGTGCGGGTGGCTCACAGCGTCTGACCAAGGCGATTGGAAAGTCGAGGGCTATGGAGGCCATTCTTACCGGCGACAACATTACTGCGCAGCAGGCTAGCGAGTGGGGGCTTGTTAGCAAGGTGTTTGAGACGCCCGAGGAGTGTGTAAACGGTGCTATTGCGACGGCGGAGAAGATTGCGGGGTATAGCCAGATTGCTGTCAAGGCGGCCAAGGAAGTCGTGAATAAGAGTCAGGAGCTGGGTATTCGCGAGGGTGTCGAGTATGAGAGGAGGGTTTTCCATGGGCTGTTTGGAAGCGAGGATCAGAAGATTGGAATGACGGCATTTGCAGCAAAGGAGAAGGCCAACTGGGCAAACAAATAAATGTTGATGTGAAATTAGTAAACGGACATGGATGGACCTCGTTTTGAATAAAATCGTGTCAACTACAGAGCCTTCTTCTCTATTCTCTAGTACCGTCGTGTAGAACACCGTAGACCTGGACTTGGAGCTTCCATTCCCAAAAGTACATGCCTTCGAAATGGAACTATGCATGCCTCGGCACCTCTCGATAAGCTTATCGGCAGCCACATGATAACCCGCGCACGCGCGTGCGTAGATGACGCGAGTCGCATGTGGGGAAACTGGAACACTACCATCTGACATGCCATGCCATGCCGCTGCTCATCCAAACATCTTGCACCCCACATGTAGAACATCACCCACCATGGACACGACACCGCCATGGCTACGCGACGCCCTCAGATTCGCTCTGACAGCGACTGCGTCAACCGAAACCCCGTGGTTCGCACACGACTACGACGCCTCCAAAGCGGCTGGCGGCGGCGGCGACCTTACCGATCCTGATGACCCGGGCAAAGACCCGCGGTTCCGCAAACTGGTCGAGGCCATATTGTTCAGTCGGAGGTTTCTGAATACGTATAATCTGGTGTTGCTGGGTGTATTGGGAGTGTTTACCGTGTGGCATTGGGGGGAGAAGGTTGTATTGTACAGGCGGAAGAGGCAACGGATAGCGAAGCAAGCTGATGGAGCCGCGCACGAAGAAGATGAAGTTTGGAGTAGCTCGAGCAGTACGATTGAAGGAAACGCGACACCCCCGGATACCACCGCCGCCGCGAAGAAATTAAACTCCGCCCATGCCGATGAATCAAACCCTCTCCTTCCCGTCCCAGAGCGATCGCGACCGCGACGAAAGAGACTTGGAGTATGGACTCCATACTACTTTCTCAAATCTCTCCTCCAATACCAACCCCCGCGCATCCCCATCGTCAACAAGACCCTCCCTACAAACGCCGTCTCTTTACTTGTCGTCGCTTGGATAGCCCTCAACATCTTCTACAACTTGTACCGCATGCCACTCTCCTTCATGTACCTCTTTGTCTTTGCCGACCGCTGCGGAATCATCTTCATCGCAAACCTCCCGCTCCTCTACCTCCTCGCCGCCAAAAACCAGCCGATAAAACGGTTGACGGGCTATTCGTACGAGAGTCTGAATATCTTGCATAGAAGAGTAGGGGAGCTGGTGTGTTTGGAAGCGTTCCTGCACTTTCTCGGCATGGTGGCTGTATGGTATGGCATGCTGCGCCATTTGGGTTTCACGTTGGCGAAATTCCTGTTCAACCGGGTTGTGCTGTTGGGCTTAGCAGCGCTGGTCGCGTATGAAGTGATTTACTTTACGAGTCTGGGCAGCTTCAGGAAGAGGCGGTACGAGGTGTTTTTGGGTCTGCACATTGTGCTCCAAGTTGCTGGCCTGGTTTTCCTATGGTTCCATCACCATACTTCGCGGCCGTACGTGGGCGTGTCCCTTGCCATTTGGATTGTCGACCGCGTGGTTTATCGCATGTGGTTGAAATCTAGCACACATGCTGCTACGCTCACGGTCCTCGAAGACGACGAAACACTCCTCTTATCCGCAAACTGGCAAGTCGATACCAAGAATAAGATAGCTGGGGTCCTGGGCAACAACAACATGAAGCAAGGCTGGAAACCAAACGAACACATCTTCATCTCCGTACCGAGTCTGTCCCGCAAACACGCTATCCAATCTCACCCTTTTACCATCTTCTCCGCCGCACCAACACAAACTCCAACGTCAACGGTAGACGGTGGACAAGGAAAACATGCTTGGTTCTCCCTCCTAATCCGCCCACAGGCCCCATCAGGCTTCACACACACCCTCCTCCAGCACGCACGACAATCCCAGCTCTCAACCCAACACCTACGTATCCGCCTCGACGGACCCTACGGCTCGTCCCACGCCCTCGATCTCCTGGAATCCTCTTCAACAGCTATACTGGTCGCAGGCGGGTCCGGCATAGCAGTTGCATACCCCCTCCTCTACGCCCTCTTACAGCCTACATCACATGACCCCGAGACGACGACTTCTTCGTCAAAGTCCCAGAGAAAAGTAAAGTTGCTGTGGATAACACATTCGCCTGACCATAGGCTTTGGATCCCGGAGGATAAGTTGAAAGAATTGGAGGATTGGGGCGCTGATGTGGTTATTTCGCCGCCGACGAGTTTGGCGGGGAGGCCGGATGCTGGTGGGATTGTGGGGGAGTGGGTGGAAGCAGAAGAGGAGGGTGCGAGGAGTGGGGTTGTGGTTAGTGGGCCGGATGGGTTGGTGAGGGATGTGAGGAATACGTGTGCGGGGTTGGTTTGGAAGGGTAGGGATGTTGATGTTCAGGTGGAGAAGTTTGGGTGGTAAGGTGTTGGTATGTCAAGTTATCTAGTAAAGTGGTTGTTTTTTCCTTGTATTATTGGCGTAGATGGGACTATGGTAGAGGCATTTGTAGTTTTAGACAGATGTGCGTACAGTTTCGGTTTTGAGGTCGTTACACACCTTACACATATCAGGATCAATCTTCTTGCTCAACGGCCTCGCCGTGCTTCAGTCGTTTGTGACGGCCAAGGTTACCCCTTGCATAGGTTCCCTTGAAAATCGGCAGAGTAGCCAGAACCCCTATTGGCACGATGCTCGGGGGACGAACGTGGTTTTTCTGAACTTGCAACCGTTCGTGTACGAGACAGAGGGTGGCAGGGTATGTTGGGTCATCTTGAGAGAGTTCCATAGTATTACTTGGCGCTCACCACGATCGAATGTATGTGGCTAGGACGGATACTTAAACTGCTTCATCGAGGCTTCAATCTATGCCATTCTTGATGCTGCTAGATTGTGTCGTTCCATTAGTTGTTACTCAGTTGTCTTGATATCACCACACCTCTCATGCTCACCAATATTCTCCCGTACTGGTTGGATGGAAGGACGTAATTTAGCACCACCCTTGGACTGCAAAACTCCGTGCCGATTTGCGGCAGCGGCATGGACAATGTAATTTCTTCGCTCAAGTCCAAGGTATTGGCCTGTATTCGTCTCGCATCATCAATAAACGATGTCGCCGAGTCAGATGTGTGTAGGCTCCTAAGTGAGTGCGAGTACGGCACAATACGAGTGCGAGTGCGAACTCCAGACATGGAACGTGATTGGCGCGCGCGGGACCTGCTAAGCCGTTGTGGGATATGCCGTCTCAGCTTTATGGTGCCCTGAGCAGAGTGAGGTACTGAAGAGCACCAATGTATGCTTCTTAACGGCGAGCCATCTATTGATATATATAGGTTGTGTGGAATGTGTAGTTTTCCCTGCCTTTAAAAGCTACTGCTACTGCGATTAATTCTAACTCGAAGATGACGCGCCTGAGGTGATCCATTGCGAAATGTCCGACGAGACTCGCGGCGTTGTAAATGCATGCAACCAACACATGGTAGAGGATCTCCACGGTAGCGAAGTAATTTACAAGGACCTCTTACCGTGTTCTGAAATGTTAATATTTAGCCCTTCCAACGGCGGGATCGCTGATGGTGTTACATTGATTTTGTAGTCATGCACATGTACAATACCTAGGTATTGAATCCGTTGTTTCGGAGGGATTCCTAACTTATCTCGAAATCATCATGTGGGTATTGGATCCGTACGGACCCGAGCCTTACCTCCCGAGGTCACGACGACGACGACGACGACGACGACGACGACGACGACGACGACGACGGTCACGACGACCACGACGACCACGACGGTCACGACGGTCACGACGGTCACGACGACCACGACGGTCACGACGACCACCACGACGACCACGACGACCACCACGACCAGTCATATGTTTACCGCATTTGAGTCTAGTAGATTTCCTTGCGCATTACATCTGCTTCCCACGACTGTCTCATGCACGATCTCTGAAGCCAAGCAGGAAGACCGTGCCGCCCCCAGCAGCAGATTGATTCATTGTTGCTAAACACCTTATCTGACCTTTCTCAGCAGGCCCATGCAAAGGACACGATTTGAGGGCCAAGACAGTGTTCCTAGGCAGAAAGTTGGCGATCAATGGTTGACCGAAACACGTTCCTTTCTGACAAGACCCGGGTTTTCAAGGGTCGTCAGCGTAGCGAGCAAGCGCGATCTAGAGAAGTTTAAGGGTTTCGGCACAACAGGAGCCTTTGGAGGTGACGAGCAAAGTGTTCAAATGGTGCGAGAGAAGGCCGGCCGTAGCATCAGGCGTACCCAGGTAGCGTTGGGGCGGGAAACACCAGTGGTCCGTGCGTTAAGCCATGAATTTCGAACTTAAAGAACACTCTCGCCTTGAAACTCATCTTAGAAGGCTGAAATAATGTTAGATTGATTGCAGAGATTACCTGTTACTATCTGAAGTTCTTTTAGCTCGTTCCGATTGCGTTACGTGGTTGCATACTCGTGTGAAGGTCTGACCCACGCTGAAAATGGACACAAATCGATGGACGCCTCCCTCACCTAGGCCTTCACAAGCGCCACTGCCACCCTGGCCATGACTGATATGCTGCTGCAGCCACCTTGCAGGAGATACAAGAAATTATGATACGAGTGCGTTGTCTTTTATACTGCACCTTCAAGCGATATTGCCGAAGCGATGCAAAGGAAGCCACCGATGAGAATTCATTTGTGCTTGCGCCACGGAGCTGGAGCTGAATTCCATATTAGTTAAACTCGTCTTATTTCCCGGCTAACATCGTAACCGCTATCAAGACGCAGTTGGGAAGCATGGGCGAATAGTGGAAGGACGCGACGTGCAGTTTGTTTTGTTCTGGCAGATCGACCCCGGCATTGAGAATGCGAAGCTAACGGACGGGCCAGAAGGGCAGCCCCGTGGCGCGAGCACGGTGACCTCTTTCATCGGTATTTTCTTCGGCGTGAAGGCTGGACATGGAATGGGATATGAAAAGTGGCTGGAACTGCCCACATATTGGCTGGATATTAGCAGTCTACACAGGCATGGAAGGCGCCAGCTAGGCGCGAGATGCTCCACCACCCAGTCCTAGTACGTGGCGCCTAGCTGGTTCTTACCATCATGCGCCATCGCGGATTATGAAGACACAAACATGAACGACGGTAAATTATGGTTATTAACTCCAGCAACCGTTTATTATAATAGCCAAACAATAGCATGAAACCGAACATCCTACTGCCTAGCTTGATCGGAATTGTTCTCAGCATCCAGCGTGAAGTTTGAGGCGGGAACGGTCCCCAGCCTGGACAAGCGGTGTCCTCTAAATACCTGACACCGAGGCCCAACGACTGAGCATGTACACCGGCGGTCAATGGTAAGAAGAATTCACTCTAGCTTCAGCTAATGGGCACACACGCTGTGCATGATGCACTTTCAGTGGTGGAGGGCACATTTGTATCCTGGCAGTATTGGCGATGATGATCGTCTGAATGGTGCCACGACGATAGATCTAGACAGTTAGCATCAGTGTAATGTTTGATTTCGCTCCGTCCTGCCTGAATAGACATTGCTACGATCAGACTACATTGCTGTCAATACCGTCGATACCCAAAGCATAGAGAGATCGGAGAGTCATTGTGTGGCAATGGTTTACCAGGGTAGTAAACAAGCCTTAAGACCTGGCTGCATGCGGCGTGAACCGAATTCGTGCCACGATAACCGCGCCTGTCACAAGGATAGACTCGGCAACCACCCGTGCGTCTCAGGCTAAGGCATATCTAATCATATCAGCAACGCCGGGTCAGACACGGCCTCAGCTGTAGGCGCAGCCAGTTCGGCCAGGCAAAATCCGCTTTTTCAAACGACTCGGCAATTATATCCCTGAGACCTTGGCCTGGTTCACTTGCGCAGAACTGAGCTTCGCGTGGACTGTGTGTGTCACCTGCGGTCCTGCGAACGTCTACCTCAACCAGATATGGCCTGCATCGACACTTGTGACGGCTGTTTTGTGGGATATGGCGCTAACTCTTCGCGCGCGAATATGTCATTGGTGGTCGACACCAGGTGCTGCTGTTGCGATGTAAGTGCCTGTCGCCCGATCGTCAGCCCACACTGCAGACAACTATCGCTGCCCTTTTGCAGGACTGAAAGTATCCCGTAACGTAACATGATGACTGTAAGAGGATTGCGACTCATTAGCCGGCTTTCGAGGTTCTATTTGTGACCACTCTCAGAAATATATCACCTAGAATGGAGGAGATAATCAGGAGGTGTAACTGGGTACCATCCGTTGCGGACCAACCCTTGGTACTGCATGGCGAGGGCCTCGAGTCACACGTAATAGCAGAGAGGGACGATGGCTGAGTGCTAAAAGCATTACACGTCTTGCGGCGAGGGCATGCTAGCGCAGGATAGTGTTCGTATTGACTGCCATACCGTATGATCGGAAAGCCAAGACCCTTAACGCGGGCAAAAGAGTGGGTCGCAAAGACCAGCGCTGATCAGACTAGCCCCAGCTCTGGAGAACTCATATGTCCACCCCATTTCCCTCATGCGGTCCAGTCTCGATGACTTCCTCGCCTTATTCTTATTCAAACTGCCCCTGATATACAACGGTACGTCTCGTTCACAGATATGACTGACTTCAGTCTACAATAGAAACACGATTACATATTGGTCCGGGTTATAAACATCCTTTCACAGTCTCCGCTTTCCACGCTCGACTATTCCTCACGCTGTGGCCCCGCGATGGCGGCACACAAGTTCCTTTGGAACAACCATCTCTGTTCACACACATTCCTCATCCCAGCCTCGCCGCTCCTGCCTGACACACTCGTCGACCTCGTCATGGAACTCTGTCACTGTCTGATGCAACTCAGTCGCCCCTCCAGCAAACTGGATGTCTGATACCACAGGTCGTGCAGTTGGAATCCCCCCATAGGCTTCGGATGGAATACCTCTCCTCGCCTTGTTCCGCCACAGACTGGTCGACGACCCAGTCATACGGCCCCGCCTTACACTCGAATGGAACATCTGTTGAGGGAACGCTATATCCGCCACACCCACCGTAGATGCAGGGATCCGGACTGCATCTGACTCATTGTTAGTCTTACCGTAGGTAAACTAACCCACATGCTCTTTCACCTTCGAACACATTCGTGTCGCTACTACTAACTATTCCTTCACGAACCTGATCTGTAGGTATTTGTCAGCCTAATCGACCCCACATCACCACCACTTCCCGCTTCCATTCCCATTCATGGGTTGGCAGACTCCGCTCGCCACTCGAAGGTGCAGTTGCAGGCAGCACTGGACACTTGCTTATTACCGACACTGGTTGTGAGCATGACAGTCTCATCACTAGTCCTTGCCGTCGAAGCACAACATGAGTCACACGACAACGATGGAAAACACCGTGTGTGATGCAGAAGACGCTCGAAGCGGCTCTTATGGCAGACTGTCTTGAAGGGAAAAGTATCTCACCTTTCCTTCCCTGACTTCTCCGCTTGTAGTATGTCGCCAGCATGAAGACCGCTCCTATGGCTGCTGGAATGCCCACAATTAGAGCTACCAATTCGACGATGTCCCCTCTTGACCACCCTGCCCCACCGGAAACATTCCTAGGTTCTGTTGCCATATTCATCCGAACACCTGTGTCAACCGTTGTCAGCTGGTCGAACCTACGGCTAGGTTCCTGCCCTCAAGCATTCCCAAGGTCTTCTTCAACTTACGTACGGGTGTGATCTTAGTACGGTACCTTGCCGTTATATCGTGGTCGCCGACAATGTCTTCTAGTTACTGTTATATCGCGTCAAGCATATAGCCTCAGAACTTCGGAAGGTCTGAGTGTTTCCCCACGGCAGAGGGGGATGACAGGCCTATCACGCCTGGGAGAGGATCGTACTAGCATGCGAAACTACGCTTCTTGCCTCCAACTGCAATAGGTCGCAATTCTCCTTGGCATCAACCGCAGCGCCTGAGTGAGTATGGCGTTCACATCGAAGCGTATCGAGTAATAGCAACGCTTTCCTTCGTCACTAGATTCTTTTGACCATTTCAGCTACACTGTCACTTTTCCATAACATCACATTTCCATCCGGCATCTTTCTTCATCGTTACACTCCCGTTCGACATTTTGTTCATTCTTTGTATCTCAAAACGCAGCACACAAAGCCCGCAAAGACCGACTTCCGATGAGACATGGTTTTGCCTTCCACACCGTTCACCTGCTCGAAGATCAGCTCACCGCCATTCTATGCATCTTTTTCGCCTGCAGCCAGCTTGCTTGCAGGATGATGAAAGCTTCACTTTCATCAATACTGCATTAGCTCTTCCGCCATTATCGAATCTCTCTGAGTGGCAGGCCAATCGAAACAAACATTTGCATCACAACGCATTAGTAGGTCTGCCTTGGTGCCCGACGAAATGTTGCCCTGTTGCCCTTCTACTTTGCCAGAGTCTGCCTTGTTGCCGTGTTCGGCATGCAGAAGGACGTCTCGTCACCTTGCATACGTTGAGGACACGTCAGCCGTGGCGTAAGGCTATCTGCACTCGACTGGTCCAGAGTGATACCCCTCTTTTTCAATTATGCAGCCCACCGGTGAGTTTCGATCAGGCGTTTTGCGCGAGAACGAGCGATATTCCGCAGACATCATGGCTCTGCTGAGGATGGTACTGGCTAGTAGATTGTGGCTTTGTAACGAAGGCAAAGAGCATCGGTACGGCAAGGCGTAGTCGCTTCAAGGATACACGAATCCGACTTCACCTATGGATAGTGCCCTGTATCGGAGAATCTGAGACAGCCTAGAAACAGATATAAGTACCTTGCCTGGGTATCTACCAAGTAATTAAGAAAAACTTCATCGTTTCTTTATTCCAATACCCTCACCTAGTATTGACTCTAGGTTCGGTACATTACTATGAAGATTACACCGACTTTGGAAATCAGAATCATGTTCAATCGACGCACTACTTTCCTATATGATCCGGACGGAAAGTCATTGGATTCAAAAAGAAGTTTTGTGCTACCCCGCTGAGCATCTACAAACTGTGTCGATCGTTATTGTGGCGCACATGCACAGCCTATCAGACAGAGTGCCACGTATGCTGACAGCGGAAGGCTAGACGGATCTTGGATTTTGCACTCTTGGAAAAGACGTATTATTACGACACGCCCTAAGTGATCCTGAGTATTTTACCACAATTTTGCATCTACACTACTCTACCAAACTGAGCAAGGGCAACACAAGAGTGCAAAAACAGAAATGAAACATAACACGTGATTACTGCGAGGCTAGAACGGAAAGCTAGTCGTCCAGTCTGAGGCACTCGCTTACCCGAGTAGTCTTCCATCACAGCACTACCTTGGAGAGAGAAACTAAACATCTCTTTAGAGCAAAGTACTTATACCTACTACAATAAAGCGTGTTTATACCTACGAAGGTATAAACAAAGAATCTAGAAGTCTACAATACTATTAATCTTTCTAGAGTTTCTTCTTAGAAGCTAATGTAGGCGGTAAACTAGGGCATGCTATATCTACACCTGTTCGAGTTTTCTATTGTATTCGGTAACAGTATGGATGAGGGGGCAACCCGCAATGCGCATTCAGTGTTCAACAGGACGATTCAGAATCCTGTTGTGACGGGAGACCGTAGAACAAGAGAATAAATATACAGACATATGGGTATCTTGGTTGTCGTAGAGATGATGCTTGAGAGTAAGAGTGAACAATGCACGGTGAGAGCAGCCTTGATCCATTTAGGCTGTGAGGAGACAATCAAAAGCAGGCGCTCTTTCCCGTCAACGCTACAAGATCAGTAGAACACATAAGATGAGAAACGTCATATCGCATTACTCACTACTCAGAGAAGACCGATACATCGACTTCAAACGTGCAACCCAGACGCCAGTCAATCCATGGTAGCCTCCAACGCCAATGTCTGCTACTTTTAAACGGTGAATATAGTTAAGAGTTTTGTTAAGAACTCACGGTGTGGTTATGGGAGTCGAAAAAGTCCTACAAATATGTGGTTGAGTCGGCCACAAGAGCTCAGGACCCAGAGATCCGTAAGCTCGCTGTCGAAATGCTCAACGAGTATCATATGCAAGTGCGCGCAGCACAAGATGATCCCGCCAACAAAGAGCTTCTGAAATTGTTAAAGAGGGAACGGCAGGCTCAGGAAAAGCAGGTTATGCATGTCCAAGATCGTTGATCGGGCCGTAGGAAGTAGACACTCTTGCACAATATTGTCCTTTTAGTCAAGGTCGTAAGAATGCACCGAGATTGCTCTCTCAAACAACACAAGAAATGAAAAGTAACAGTTCTTTATCATGGTATATATATCTCCCACAGTGTCACTCGTCTTCATAACGTGTAACCCTAGACGCCTGTCAATCGACAACTTACCCCCAACGCCAATAACTGCTACTTCTAAACGCCCATGCCCATGCTCCTACCCACTCACCCGTACCCTTCTATTCCTCCACACCCTACCTCCCCGCCCTAGCACTCTCCCTACTCTCCTTCTTCTTCCTCAAATACGCACTAATCTGCTCAACATGAGACACAAAAAAGCACCTCCCAGCATCATTCTGCCAAACCAATACCCCAAGCGCACTCGCATAACCCAGAACATCCCTATACTCTGCATCGCTACCAAACTCACGCATCAGATAGCCCGTAGTCGTCTCCACTCTCTCGCCTTCATATTCCCACAGCCTGATCTGATCCATGACCGTGGGCGGGATATACGGAACCGTCTTCTGCATCTGGGGATGCGCATACGTGGTTAAATAGGAGATGATTTGCGAAGAAGTGATACCCGACTGTACAGCTTTGTGAACAGATTCCTTTGTCAACTTACCCGAGACGAGATTAGGAAAGCGGTGTTGGAGTTTGGTAAATAAGCTCAGAATGGCAATTTGGATCAGACTGTTGGTGTAAGCGTAGAGGCGGTAGTTTGTTTCGATGATGATGAAGCCTTTGTTTGCGGCGGCCGAGGGACCTGCGTTGCCTTGGTTGGCTTGTGCAATGTCGTTGGAGGAGGCGGACATGGCGCTGCCGGAGTCGGAGGTTAGGGTTGTGGCGAGGCGGGTTGGGTAGAAGGTTCGTGCGTTCTTGTCGGAGCGGTAGATGAGGCCCATTGAGGAGAGATCCTCGAGCATTTGGGCTTGTGTAGGCGAGAGAGTTGATGTGGAGTAATCTTGGCCTAGTTCGAGGGAGCCGAGCATGAAGAGGAAGGATAGAACTTCGGTTTCGGACATGCCGAGCTTGGTGTTGATGTTAGGATCGTTTTCTGGAGGTGTCGACTGGTTCCGAAGAGGACAGTCATCGCAGGGGTGAGGTTCAACACTTACTTCGTTCGTCATCTTCAGATACACGATCAACAAACTCCAGACCTGCGCATTCGTCTCTTGCAGCACAAAAGAAAAACCATCTTTCGTGATCCGGGGACTCCCATGTATAGTCCTCACAAGATCACCAGTATGTAGCAGCTTCTTCGTTCCAGGACCGACTTCGGCTCGCGAGATACTGTCCTTGCTGAGTCCAGCCGCACCGCTGACCAGATAGTACAGTATACCTTCCCACTGCGATCTCGAATATTCGTCCAGGAAATCTACGCTCAATCGCTTTCCACCACTCTCTTCTCTAGTTGCTGGGACACCAAACGAGCGGTGCGTGCCAGAGCCCTCGAGGGCATTTCGTAGGCTCTTCTGGAAACCTGTGCTGATTGTCCAAGCCATGGTGCCGTCATCTTGTTTTATTTGGGCGATAATGTGCAGGCGTTCGAGAGTAAAGACCGCTTGTTCTTTCTCTCTGCGGGCCGAGGGCTTGAACCATGCGTCGAGGTCGGCTACGGGGAAGGACGAGGGTCTGTAGAGCATTGCCATGACTATAGATTTGGCTGCGACTTTGTTAGCTCTACTACATCGCTGCATTGTACGCACTCACCAAGATGCGGCAGCATGCAGCGGTACACCGCCAACACAGTCGAGGGCTGCTCATATAGCCTCTTGTGCGTAGCAATAGGCAGGCCCTCCAAGTATTCCAGCGCCTGTGCAGACGACGAGGCCGACATCGTGGAGGGATGTGGAGGAGAATATGTCCGTCTACCGCCGTATTATCATATTCGGAGGAGAGAATATCGCGAGATCGAGCAAAAGAGACGCGTACGTCGCGCCTTTGGTCTGCGCAAAGTGAAGTTGCAGGCAAGCAACCAAAGAAAGTACTTGGATGACGCGCCGAGCAAGCGGAAAGCTGACCCCACAAATTCCGCTCCACCCCTGTCTAGCTTCCGAGATACGTGAGGTAACTGCCGAGCGGAACCACGACATCACTCTTCGCACATCGAGGAGCAAGGACCGAATATGCCGGCATTGAAGTTTGTGAGATCCGTGAGTATGCGCGTGGTGGTAGAAGTATATCGAAAATCGATCCTGATTAGCTGAATAGGTCTGGGAATCTTTCCGAGCCAACTCCGGCCTGGAGCCAAGGTACTTCTCGTATCCTGATAACATGTCCACAACACTAACAAATCATCTTTCCTCAGACTATTAGATGGTGTGAGTAGGTATTCATCATTCGAAAGGCTCACGTCTGACCTTGAGTTCAGCTACGAGTAACCTCGGCAGTCCCAGGACGTGTCAAGTTTGAGCTGGACATCCAGAAAGAGCATACAAACAGACTTAACATCCTTCACGGCGGTACGATAGCCAGCATGGTCGATCTCGGTGGCTCCCTAGCAGTAGCCTCACGTGGTCTCTTCGCAACAGGCGTTTCCACTGACTTGAACGTGACCTACCTCTCTTCAGGCGGCAAGATTGGGGATTTGATCAAAGCCGAAGTGACATGTGATAAATGTAAGCCTTCTGAAGTTACGACTGCTACCCAGAAAGGACTTTTGGTTGACATGTTACACAGTCGGCAAAACTCTAGCTTTCACATCCATCGCCTTCAGTAACAACAAAGGCGAAGTCTTCGCACGAGGAAGTCACACCAAATACGTTGCGTTGGCTTGGAAGGACCCTAACAACATCGTCGAGGAACTTTCACCAAAACCAGAGAAGAAGGACTAGGTCCAGCAAGAATGCAAAAACTTGGTATCAATATCCTAACCTGCATGAGACGTCTAGTTATATGCTATGGATATTCACGTTTTCGTTCGCAGGCGCTACCCTCTCAGTCCGTGATGCTGTGCTTCTCTGCTTTATTCTCATCATCGCGTATCGTAACATCGTTTGCTTCAGAAGATCCATATCGTCGTAACATCGTCGACTCTACGTTTGTCTCACGAGCACTCCGACTCCGTCTCCTGATTCCTCTCTGCTACATCGTCACTTTTCGCCTCATCAGATTTGTTCCAACGCTTGCCCTTCATCAAATTGACTAGACTAGCTTTTCTCGGAGTCAACTTCCTGATAGCCCGCCCAAACGGTCCAGTTCCCGTCCCCGCCGATGTCGCACTGTCTTTTTGTTTACGAAGCGACATCGACGGGATATCGAGTGAGTTGCCGAGAAGTTTGTTGTCTTTTCGATATTTGTACTCAAAATCCTGGTTACGGTTAGTAAGACATGAAAACTGATTCAACACAGTATCGATATACCCATAGGCTATCCGCTGCTTGATCAGAAGTACATAGGTCGCGCAGTTGTCCGAGTATGTAGCACGCTGCGAGTTTCTCTTGGTTCAATTTACATTGTCCCAAGAGGCCATCTGGTTGGTAATCTGTATTCAGTTCGGCGTCCATTGCATCAGTACGCCACTTGTCGTATCGGGCTTGGAAACGTCCGGCCCAGTAAAGCGGTGGCATGTAGTCTTTGACCTTCTCAATGTCAGCAACTTCCAACGTCCCTTCTTCCAAGACACTCCATGGCCTGGATGATGAAGAACCCGACGTGCTTCTCGCAGTCTCCGGTGCCGTGGTTGTTACTGAGGGGAATGCCGAAATTTCGCCACTAGATCCGCTGGATTCTACAGACGCTACGAGCCCTCCTCCAGGATAGTAAGGCGAATAGGCGGGAGTAGTGTTCTTCTCATCCTCGGTCTCTTCGGGAATCGACTCGCAGGAGTTCGTGTCGGATAAGATGTAGTCCTGGTGAGATCGATTGGTATCCTTCTGGTCCATGCGTACTGGTTGGATCAAATTTGGAAAAGATACTGTTCTGTACTGCTCTAGAATTTGAGGCACTGGTGGAGCAACTTCCCGCCTGGCTCCAAGGTTGTGGAAGGTATAAGAACGTGGAAGTTTGCTCACCTCATGTGTCGTCAATGCCAAAGCGCGTGACGACCGCCATACGCCGCCCAAACCATTGGGTGTACCCAGTGTCTTCCTTTGCAGGTCTCTGTCCGTGTGTGGCCGGGGCATGACTGGGTCGATAAGCTCGGTTTTCTCTGGGGTCAATCCTGAATAACCTATATCACGAGGCTGGTTAACCGCGACCTCCGATACCTGTGGCGAGGACGGCGTATGTATCTTTGTCTCTTCTTGCGGCTGTATTCGCTTGACCGTTACTGGCGTTTGTTGTGCGAACTGTGAACTCATCCGTTTTCTTACTGGCAATGGGGTCGCGAAGCTAGGCTCCCTACTTTGAAGAAGTAGTGGCCCTGGCCCAAACGATCTCCTGTTGTTCAAAGTACCAGGCACTGCCAACGACTCTCTCTTCAACGTTCTCTCCTGGATTTGCGACCGCCTGTGCGTGATGCGCCTATCTGTAGGTATATTCTCTTGTAGCACTGGCTTCTGAGCTATTGGAGCATTCGCAGTCCTCTTAGGTCCTGATCGTCTTGGGGCCATAAATCGCGCTGGTTGTGACAGGTTGGAGTCCTTTGCGAGATTTGGCGTTGTACGTGAGCGCACTTGATATGAATGCCTCACCGGCGAACGATTATTGGCGGCTGCTAACGCGTGCGCTGTTGCGATGTGTTTGATCTGCTGTGAAGCACGGTATGAAGCGTGTTGATGGATATGTAGGCGTGAATTAGAGCGACGGCGCTCGACTGATGGCGGACTGGGTGTAGGAATCTTCGAAGGTGCAGAGTTAGGCTCTGGCCGAGGCATTGCCGCGATGGAATGGGATTTCACTGCCCCCTCCACGTCTGCGACGAACGAGCTAGGCTCAGATCTGACGGGCAGTGGAATGAAGCTCAATGTGCGCGATCGGGGTAATGGTTTGGGTGTGACGTCGACATCGGTGCTCATGGGCAAGGTCCTGCTCAGCGGGACTGTCACGGGCTGCTCGGACACACCACTAGAGAGTTTGGGTGGCGTGAAAGGCAGCACTGGTGAGAGTGGAGGTCCACAGATAGAGTCCTCGGTAGTAATGTCGGACGCGGAGGGCTCGGTAGCTGTCGATAACGGCACACTCACTTGCTGGCGAGCTGGGATTGTCTTTCGCTGCAAGAGGGGGTTTGAGATGAACGCGAAGCCATAGCTGAGCTTTCTGCGAAATTTCGTTGCGCCGTTCTCATGAGGCTCGCCATTCACCGCCTGGTGAGCTGCCGGCTTTTCCCTCCAGCCTACCATTGCCGCTGCTTCACCTTCAGCTAACCGAATCGTCTCCCACCGAGCACGAATCTGTTCGAATCTCTGTCGATCTGGATATGTTAGCATGGCTGTAGCGTGGTGCGAGGCGTGCGTGGATGAGAAGGACTTACTCGCGCGGTGTCGTTGTGTGTGATGTTGTTTTCGAGACGGTAAACATGGAAGGCACGACGGTGCTGCCTTCGAAGAACTGCGACGTCATGGCAAGGAAGAACGCAGTCACGACATTACAACTGGAAAGGGCAACCGCAAACGGTTCAAGAAACTACAATGTCCTATGCTCGTAGCTCAGACCGCCGGCGTGCTCAACGTCTTCGCCCGGCCCCAGTTGTCGGGTTACTACAGCCAATGTTGAGTTCTGAGTGTTCTCCGCAGTCGAACACCGCGAGGACGTTCCAGTACGCCTGGAGTATTTTGCGGAGTGACACTCAGGAACCACCAGATCTAGCATGTAAGAAGCAGAATCTGATGAACGTTGTGCATACTTGCTAACAATGACTTGGACGCCTCATAAAATCTCAAAGATGGTACGGAGATATCGAAGACATCTAGCAGGTCGGAGAATTGAAGACTGAGAACTACGAGAGAAATTCGATAAGGTAGGTGGGTAGGAGACTGGAAACAACGACATTATTCACCAGAAAAGATGGAAAGATCAACGGCCGTCTCAACTCAGCGGCCTCGAAAAGAGCATTTGTGCAACCATCTTCTCAATAGAACAATTCGCAAGAAAACGTGGCAGCTCCTTCCATGCCCTGTCCCTCGACCGATCAGTGGTAAGGTGCAGACTGGAGATGAGACCGTCCAACGGTAGAAAGACTTGCGCAAAGACATCTGCAATCACGTCACGGACCAAGGTTTCGCAGAGTCATGACCTGAAGCTCAAGTGCATACAACGGAGAAGGCGTCTGCTTCGGCGACTAGAGAATAAGCTCATGTTTCAGCGATAACGGTCCAGACCAAAGCTCGGGCGCCGAGAAGACAAGATTAAGGAATGCAAGGAGATGTTTGAAGCATCTCGAGCATGTGGCTTGGGAGAAAGAAGATTACTATGCCACGGTTTGATAAGGTGCTAGTTGGAGCTTGAGGACCGAAGGCACATGTTCTAGCGCCAAGCTGACGGCCCGGGCGACTCGGAAAGAGATAGCCCGCGCAGCGCTAGAGCGATGTGTGACATGCATGCCCAGATGATCTACCCATCCTAGCATCGTCATATACGACTACAACTCACCTCGCATTCCACCACCGACAACCTTTCGCACGAGCGGAACACAGCGGAGCCTCATGACAACAGTGCCAAGTGTGTTCGGCTTCCCCTGACGCCTCGGGCCCAATTCGTCCGTGCCCGTCAGCTGCTCACCCATGTATTCCCCCGGAACAATCTACGCCAAACCCAACCTTGCAGGCTTGCATGAGCCCTAAGTGCCGGCCTCGGTACCACGAGATACAATATATGTGTAGCTAGGTAGGAAGCGGTCCCGTATCCGGACTTGCCCCCGCAGTGCTAGTAATATAATCTGGGGTACTTAGACTTCATATGGTATGTTTCATGGTGATCGCGGTAGTACTTCGTTGCTTATGATACTATGGTGAGATGGAGGTTACGGAGAATCTCTGCTTGCGTCCGGCTGGATGGTACTCAATATAGAGGAGAGTGGCGGTTAAGAGTAGGTATATAGACAGGGTGTTTGTACACTGATTTTGGTTTCACCAGCTTTGCATCGCCTTCGCATTTCTCATCTCAAGGTCGCCAGTCTACAGAATTCTTCATCATGCATACTTCAAGTCTTTTGTCGGTAGTCGCGCTGGCTGCTACGGCTTTGGGTGCGCCTAGCAGCCATGTTGAGAAGCGTGCGCAGACAGTATACCTTGCCGGAGATTCGACGATGGCGAGAGCAAGTGGAGTCACCACAGGTACGCATTGCTATGCATCAACGCACCAGAAGGCCACTACTAACCATCGCGACTAGGCTGGGGTGTCTTCTTCCCATACTCCGTCTCTCTCCCAGTCGTCAACAAAGCCATCGGTGGCCGCAGCTCCCGTTCCTACACCGTAGAAGGCCGCTTCGACGAGATCGTCAACCTCGTAAAGCCAAACGACATCGTCATCATGGAATTCGGTCACAACGACGGCGGCGGCCTCGGCAGCAGCGACAACGGACGTTCAGTCTGCCCCGGTACTGGCTCTGAGACATGCCAGTCTACATACAACGGTCAAGCAGTTACCGTCCACACATACAACTACTACCTTACTGAGGCTGGCAAGAAGCTCATTGCCAAGGGCGCCAAGGTCATCGTCAGCAGTCAAACACCAAATAACCCCTGGGAGAGCGGTAGTTTTGTGTACACCGATGGTGGAAGGTTCGTGGGTTACGCGCGGGACGTAGCTAAGGCGTTGGGAAGCAATGCCATGTATGTTGACCACGGAGCGTACACGGCGGATATTTTCAAGACTATGGGCAAAGCAAAGACCGATGCGATCTTCCCGCAAGATCACACCCACACTAGCCCGGCTGGTGCGGATATCGTTGCAAAGGCCTTCGTCAAGGGTCTGCAGTGTGGCGGTGGCGGTTTCTTGCAGGGATTTGTCAAGAACGCGACAGCAAGCATTCCAGGCAAGTGCTTGTAGAAAGATGAGGATGAGAACGAGGCGCGGTTTCTATCGCTGATACCGATGATGCTCATGCTTTCTTGAACATACTTTTCATGTATATATTCAACTAACAAACGAATTTCAATTACCAACGAAACAAATTTCTACCCCATTGTAGTTCACTTCTTCCATTTTCATTCCCTCAGATCCACTTCTCGCCCTTGCCAAGATGCGACAAGAAAGCACCGCCATCTCCATTGGCAACACTCGAGGATTCGACAACACTCAGTACAGCCTTGACTGACTCTTCTGGCGTAATAGCCCCCTTAAAGTCTGGTGAGTAATCCATGAACTTCTGCGACATGATTCCAAGTTTCCGCTGATCATCTTCCGATACTAAACTTTTGGTCAGCTTATGCATTCATCGTTCTTGTTGGAGAGACCAAGACTTACGATCAGCATACACATCTGTTCCTACTACTCCTGGAGATATGCTCAGAAAGAGCACTCCGTCTTTGGCGTATTCAGCACTGAACTTCGCAACGGCCATGTTCACCGCCGCCTTGCTGATTGCATACGGTCCATCCTCGGATATGTTGTACTTGCGTACCAATTCCATATCACCCATGCCACTGGAGATGGTAACGACCTTCTTGACATTTCCCTTGAGAACGAGCGGCATGAAGAGGTTGAAGAGGTGGATGTTGCCAACGACGTTGACGCTGAAGAGCTGATTGAGACTGGACTCCATTTTGGCCGGGTCTTTGCCTCTTTTGTATTGTTAGAGATACAGGAACTATAACGAATGACAAGCAGACTTACAGAACGGAAAACTCATCGAATTCACCAGACACAAGACCCGCGCTTGCGATGAGGTAGTCCAGACTTCCGTTGGTGACTTTGGATGTGGCATCAACGGCACTCTTCAGTGACTCGTAGTTGGTGAGATCGCCTTGGACGAGGTGGATGTTGTTTCTGCTCCACGATGCGATTCTGGCTTCGGTGTCTTTTACGTTGCGAACGAGACCGATGACAACGTTGTCTGGGTTGCTGGAGATGTGGTCGAGGAATGCAAGACCGATTCCTCGAGACGCTCCGGTGACGAGGTAGGAAGGCATATTATTCTGATAGCTGAGGCTACTTCAAGAGTTGGAATGGTTCGAGGATCTTAAGATCTTGAAGATTGAAGTATTTGATAGTGAACTGATACCTATGCTATGGAAGCCGGGTGAGGTTCTTTATATCATCTCTATGAGACATATTGTCCCTCCGTTTTGGTGCGGCGGAAGCGTGCACACCAGCCTGGCTTCATAATCAACGATGCGGAGCTCGCAAATTCTGACCACAATTCTGTTTGAAGGCATAGGGGATGGACAAAGGTTACGACGTTGGATGCTTGGCGGTGACTGAGGCTGACAGAAAGCTCGCAGATGGTTGCTTCGCGTCCAGTTCGGGTATAGTGCAGAACTAGCGACATCTGGCGTGATTCGCTGGCCGTTGCAGGTGCGGGGCGGGGCGCATTACAGGAGATCTCCCACCGGCTTCCATCAGCGAGGATTTCCAAGTCCTTCGGCTCTATCATGCTTCTAGTAACAGCTGCCTCTGCTTCGTGCCTAGTTCCTACAGTGGCTTGCTTGACATACCTTCATATCCTTGGTTTCTCATAGGATGCGTCGCGATCTCTTCGCAACGCTTACCCAGAAGGTGCACGTCGACGCCTGGCCCCAGCTCAGCACGGAGGAATGACTGCAGCAAAGGCTGCAACAAAGGGCTGCTGGACATGCAAGGGTAGGAACTGAGTCCGTAAATGCTCTTGTACCACGCGATACTGATATCGTCCTTAGATCGCAAGGTCTCATGTGACCGCGCTGTACCAGTTTGCAATAAGTGTTCAAAATCCAAGCGCATATGTGGTGGTTATGGCATTCGTCTCTCATGGGTCAAGAACAATGACCAGAAGAGGTGGCCCCTTGAACCTGGACATCAAGAGTTACAACACGCAAGAATTCGGCATCAATCTGAGCAATGGATCAACGTCTCGTCTACTGATATCCGTCTCCACATCCTTGCTAAAGCTACTATTGGCGGAGGTAGGATCTCTTGAAGTAAACTTTGCGGCATAATTTGACAAGTGTTCAGTCAAGGGTGAGCGTGTCGAAAGGGATCAGCTTGCGTTGCCCAAGCTTACCCGGTCCGTGGCTTCGGTAACAACGAAGGTGGCGATTAGCGACGCGGAACTAGTACAGTATTGTGAGTTTACTTGCAGAAAACGACTTGGCCCAATGCTGACCATCGCAGTCGAAGATGTAGTCGTCGGGATCCTACCTTCTGTGGGCCGTGAGAGGACTGAAGTCGGACGCCTGTTGTTACGAATGGCTTTGTCGGGGCGTTCCATATCGTCAATGGCTCTGCTACTGTCCCTAGTCGCGCTGGCTTCTCGCCATCGCGGGAACGATATGGTGCATGCGGCTCGTGCCAAAAATGCGGCAATAGAAGCGCTCGTAAGTGCCACGAGTCCTGGATTGGATTCGGATGCCAGTATCGAACACATCGCCACCGGTCTGGTTTTATGTTTAGTAGAAGTAAGCCGTCATTTGGAAGAGAATGGTACAGAACTAACGCGATATTTTCATGATGATAGACAGATCTCGACTGCGACTGGATAGGCCATCTATGCGGGGCGAAAAACATTGTTCCTACCGTCGATAAGAAAGCACACTCCGTTGGAAGCGACGCAGCTATCATTCTCGGGTGGCTCTACTACTTTGTCACATTTACCCGCTTCAGCTTCCGTCATTGGCGCACCTACATGATTCGATCAACCTCACACGAGCTTGGTTTCAAAGCTGCTAATCACACTTGTGCGGTGCAATATCGTATCGCCCGCATCGCTTTCGCGGAGGACATGTCGAGTATCGCAACATACGCTCACCCTCTACTTCAACTTCTTGCTGAGGTCTTTGAAACACGACTATACGCTTCTGATCCGCTGTATCATTCGAATGACTATCAACAGTCTTTAAACGACCTCAAGTCCCGACTAAGCGACATTGATCTCGTCACTAGAGATGAAGAAGGAGAAGGCGACAAGTACTATTGCTTGGAGTTCACCAGACTAGCAGGCCTTATTTACCTCGAGCGCGTGTCCCGAAATTTCTCGGGCCAATCGATACGGCTCGATCATTGGAAGGACGATACACTATGCATACTCACTAAGTTGAACACGTACCCATCATCTTTCTCTATGTTCATTGTCGGCTGCGAGGTTCACACAGACGAAGAGCGGTTGATCATGCTTGACTTCTTCACCAGACTGGAACAAGGTTCCCACCTTAGCAGCTCACTGGAAGCCAAAGGAATGATACAAACGGCCTGGATTCAACATGATCTTGGAGCAGAGGGCGAGCTTGAGTATATTCACAAGATCAATCTGGTGATGAGCTCACGGGATGTCATACCAAGCTTCATGTAGCTCATCAGCTAGCCATAGTCTTGGGAGGGCAAAAGACGCAATTCAAAATGAACAAAACTTTTCACTCGGCTATTCTTTAACGGCATCTCACTACGCTCCCTTCATCCTGCGTTTTGTATTGATGTCCCAGGGTGTCTCTTTTTCACGTGTCTCAGCATGTTGTCTTTTCTTGAAAATTTCTCCTTGCAACCATCAACTAAACACTGGATCGCAACCCTTCCTTCAGTAGTGTGTTTGGCTGCAATATGTCGCTGCAGATCCGCCTCGAAACCAAAGGGCCTTTGCGGACAGCCCTCGTATGGGCACTTAGCGCGCTTGTTGTGTATTCGGTTGACGTGTTTGCTTTGGACTCTTTAGCTTGGTTGTTCCACGATATGGAGAAAATAGACTTACTTCAGGTCGCAGCAGCGACGGAAAACTTCTTGACATTGACAACATGTGAACGAACCTGTGACAGCAGAAAATGGTGACGTGTCTGCCGAGTGACTATCCGCTGGCGTTTCCAACCACCCAATGGAAGCATCGTTGGGTGATCCAGGCCCTGTAGAAGGTGTGGAAGAGGTGGCGTCAATGCTCTGGGCGACATCCAGACCAGAGCTCTCGTTGGGACTGGTAATGTAGCCACCTGATACTTCGCGATCTTGGCAGGTGGGTACGAGACAATCGGCATTTGGCAAATAGGGTCGATGTATGACTGGGTTGACTTCGTATTCGAACGCGAATGGCGTAAAGTATTTGTCGTTTGAAGTATTTTGTTGGAAAGATTTAGGAAATTCAAGGGTATCAGAATAACATGACTCTATAGGTGACAGCGCGAAAAAGAAGGAAGGCGAAGACGATGAAGGCCTTCGCCAACAGTGGTTTTGTTGTAGGGAGGAAGGTTACCACGAAGCCAGACACCTCAGTGGTGCGGCCGTGGGAGGATGTAAACTCGGCTGCGTGAAGACTGTAAGGTAACTGCACTCGAGGGAATAATTTCTTTGATAACAATAAAGAGGTGGAGATTTAGGACTTGCCAGCAGACGGCCAAAGGCCGCTGTGGAAGCGATTGCAGAACAAGGAGAAAAGGCGGCTGCGCAAGCCTTATATGTCGAGCGGATTGAGAGGCATGCTACGAGCGGGATCGGTAGTCGGTGAGCCAACCAACCTGCTCGCGTCGCTAGCCAACCAACAAGCCTGCTTTCTGTTATGCCTCTCCATGTATGCAGCCAAGCCTTGTGGCGGAGGCTATGATCACTACTGGCGTAAGGCTGAAGAGGCTGATGGAATGCCTCGCTGCATGTATTTCATGGGAAAATAAACATGGAGATCTGCTAACATCAGTCTCTATAGACTTCGCCGACAAGTTGAGTCAAGTGATTGAGGGGCCTATTTTTGACAAATTCGTTTATACAGTTAAGGTATGGCATTGGAAAAGCATTTTAGACTGCACGTGGATAAAGGCCAGAGAATACGGCCCCCGACCCTCAGCTTCTCGACCTTGCCCTCTGCAATCTTGAATTTTTGCAACCCACGGCAGTGCATTCTCAGTCTCCTACTACAACACCATATCGAATAGTTTCATATGTCGTCTGAAAACCACGGAGTTGAGCTCTGCCTTAAGTTCAACTTCTGTCCACCAGCCACTCTCTCAATCTCTAACCCCTCGGCATCACCTTTGAAGCTTGTCGCCACCATCCACCAAACCTCCTCGGTCTTCCCAGATAGATCGGTTACTATCTTGACCAAGTACTCATGTCTCGACACTACGCCTCGTGAGGATGCGTTCCGCAAGGGCGATATGCACTCACCGGAACTCGCATTTTCTTCCACCCGACAATTAGATGGCTCTGCAAAAGTGCTTAACCTCCGGCCCACAAAGCGCATTACGTTCCACCGGATATCAGGCGACCCGGATCTTGCCAAACGCCCTGAGGATCCCGACACCCCTGGATTCACTTTCATCACAATTCCTCCGGTAGGAAAAGGTTCTGTACAAGTTGCGTGGGTGCTCTCTGCTGAACGGCTTATGTCGAGTCTCGGCGACGACTCAACCTCGCTCCAAGAAAAGCTTGAACATTTTCTACGAGTCGGCGACACCTACCATGTCTGGCCCGGCGATCTTTCGATTCGATGGTGGTCATTTGGCTCCTTGGAAGACCCGGAAGGCTTGAAAGGCAAGAAAATCTCGCGCTTCAGCTTTTCTGACGATCTGGGGTTGGATAGGGAAAAGGGAGCAGATGAAAGCGAAGAGGTTGTTAGTAAGATGCAGGATCTTATTGATTTGCATAACGTGAACAAGTTGTCTTCGAGAAGCGCCGTGGAAGGAGAAGAGAAGCCGGATATTAAGAAGATGAGAGAGGAAGGGTGGGTTTTCGGAGAACCGCCAGGGCTGTTGAAGATGATCGCGCAAGACGAAGACAAAGTAGCTACTTTCAAGATCGTAGAGTAAGGTAATTGGCTCGTTTGGCTGGTGTTGTGCGTGATCATGCAAGGCAAGATTGGAGGCTGTGCTCATCTCTTTGCGGATACACGAGGCTGAAGACGCCAGCGTCATGCCTCTCATTGCTAACAAACAGGCCAGTGTTTCTGGATTCAAGAAGCTCTGGTTCGTGAAGGATCGCCTTCATGACACTTTGTCGTAGAAATACAAGACATTCTCTAACATATTGCTACCCAGTTAGTCTACGACTCTGCACGTTGCTCAATGTTCTGAGTTGGAGCTGTATACAAGTAGCATAAAATTTCGCACTAGATACGAACTGGACTCTGGATGTAACGACGAAGGCTGATGCAACTGCCTGACGCTCGACCGCATCTAGTTTTGACATATCCTAGGCGTGGTCGCATGCTCTTCTCCACCTCCGAGCTGCCTAGATTCTCGGAAAGGCAGATAAAAAAGTAGGGTTCGAGGCTCACCAGACGCGAGGAATGACGTCATGATGGCACTTTTGCTGAGGACACATACGTAGGCGGTGCTGGTAGCTTTTGCATTCTCCTTATGTGTAGCTTAGTCCACTTCTCCAGGTAGATGTGTCATCGTACAAGAATATCGTGCATCCTTCCCTCTCGTCTCCAGAAAATACATAGTCTTCTCAGCCAATTGTCCCTCCATCTTTCGCATTGTTGCACACATAATCCCCTACGGCTAGTCTCTAGAACATGTCTGATCCTTTCCAGCCGGTTCGTGAAGCCTTCTGCACCTTGACTTCACCGTCAGCGCTCCACGAGGCGGTGGTACTTTGAAGGTTTCTGATGTTTCCTTGAGTGCTGACTGAGAAGACTTAGTCTACATTAGACAAGGTGACGATTTGACAATCCTTACGTTAAAAGATACTTTGTTTGGAAGGGTGCTTCTTGGCATCCCGGGAACGAGCATCTGAAATTTAGAGCATCCTCACGTTCAAGTCGAGCATTCTCTCTCTGATCATCAAGATCAGCGACTTCGTGACCAAGATCTGCAGATGTCTATTAGCTTCTTGTCGAGAACGATAGCAGCCCAGGGCTTTAGGGTAAAGCTTAGAAGCACTAACCGTGTGTGTTGGCGAGAACTGAAGTAGGATTGAGCCTTTTCTTGATCCAAATCAAAGTCTCGCCCGGCCTGTATACTCGGTAGGTTGAGCCAAGACACAAGGTAAGGTCAGGACGATCGGGTGCCATGTGGTGTAGGAGCAGTGTGTCCTGAAATTTCTCATGCCTCTCCATAGTTTCGAATATACCATAGGCTTTCTCCCAGGGTTCGCAATCTATGTAACCGAATGGAGTGAAATCTAAGTTCTCGAGGCTCTTCATACAGTCAGCAAAGATTTCGACACATACTATTAGTGGAAGCCTACCAGTGGACACCCATATGTATCTTCGCTCCGCCACAATGGTGCGGAGGCAAAGGCGGGCAAGTTTCCGTCCTGGTTTGGCACAACAGCAACAAGACCGAGCGATTCCGAGTGTCTTCATCGGAACTGTAGTACTCCATACTTGTCACGAATGGAAAGCGATTTATGGGCTCGTTAATACCATTAGTCGAGGGAAGAGACGTTGGTGAAATAGGCTCGTTCCTGTGTCCATACTAGTCGAGCGGTGTGGCTCAGCCACCCCCTCCATTCACCGGTCACTCGCATGCCAACGCATCACCAGCCTCATTGCGCCGCTGTTGACTTGCGTACCTCATAGTCTGGCGTCATATGCAATTACACATGGTAAATACAGCTTCTAATTCTCAGGTGAAATTTCGAAATCCGTCCAGAAATCCGTCCTTAGCGGCCATCAATACCATCATCCAAGACCAAGCGACTATATCTAGGTGATCTACAAGCATCGCGAAGATCAGGGTGACCTTGAGCTCTGTCTCTATGATGCAAACGTGCATAATGAGCACAAGAGGATTAGTGACAGGCTTCCTGAAGTAGCAGGTGAGGATCTTCTCTTGACGTACTGTTTAAGATCAATCGGTCTTTGGTACTTACGCTCGCGATTAGGTCAGAATAAGCACATGCACTCAGAGGCTCGTAAACAACAACATCGTGCATCATCTCATTCTTCCCTTGGAACCCTTCTCCGCCTTTGCTCCTCAGGCAGTCTGAGACTGAACAGAATTACAGCGTATTTACTGATGCACCAGTTGAGTTGCCCCTTCGTATCGAGCACTTTTGGAAGTGGCGCTTAAGGATATCACTTCTGCTGAAGGCGTCCTTGCAAAGAGGGCATTGGTAGGGTCGTTCACCGGTGTCTGTGGGATGTTAGAGGCGAAGCTTGATTAGATGGGAGATGAAACTTACGTCGCAGCAGATGGCGCTTGAGATGCTTCAGATACAGGTACGTCTTGTTGCAGTGAGGACACTCATAACGGCCCCTGTCGTTCTTGTGTCCATCATGTTCAAATTGGTGAAGACTAGAGCTGTCAGCCAGATTGAATAACGTGTCAAGAATTGCGTACGTGAGTAAGTACTGCGTCCGAAAAGGCGGTGCAGTACATCCTGGATGTTCACATTTGAACTTTGCAACTGAAGAAGACGACTCGCTCGGCTGGTGACGGTAAGCATCTCGCCTGGCTACCTCAGCCGCTCGAGCAGCTTCCTGCTGATCGTGTGGTAATTTTGCAATCCGTAGGTCTTCACATTCTCTGCGATTATTTTCACGCTGCTGTTGTATCGAAAGAGGCTCAAAGAGCGAACCAGTACTGCCTGTGGCGACTTTAATCGATTATTTGATGGATAGTAAGCGAAAGGGTGAAGTCGTGACATACCATCAATTTTGCCGTTGGAGCTAGCCCCATTGAATGCCTGTTTCATTCTGGAGAAGAAGCGATCTACAGGGCCGAGATGCCGAATTCCGTTCACCTCCAGAAACTTAAAGTCATGGGGAGCAGGTATGAGAGCATGCTGGCACTCGCTGAAAACTCCTAGCTCTGTCAATGCTTCTTCGCCCACGATGAGGTCATGGATTAGGTCGTCTAGCAAGAAAAGGTCGATCGTGTCGCAAACCTCGAAAGGGGCGTCAGGGTGGAAGTTGGGTATATAGATTGATACCTCTGCACGTACGAAACCGGCGGTGATTGATATACTCCCATCCGCTAATTCGATCAGTTCTTCTCCTGGGTAGACGTCGAAACCGCGTGCATATGCGAAGGAGGACGATATCAAGTTAATCTCTGAACCTGTATCAGGAATTGCTAGTGTTTCCCTGAAGTCCAGATAGCATTCCAGTAAACGCCTTGGCTTTCCCACAGAGCATACAGAAAGAGCTTGATAAGCTGGCCTTTTAACGCGCACCAGTCTATCCCTGTGCTCGGTCATCGTTTTGGTCTGCTCCAAGAAATCTAAACCCACGATGATAGGCATCGCAGCCTTCAGCAGGATGTAGAAGATGCAAGTCATTGTTGCCGATGGCTCGGTCTCGATGCCGAAAGAGCATACCGATTCGATTTGACCTATAGCTTCTACAATTTTACCATTGGCTAGTGCGAATTGTTTCCTCTCTGATAGGACATCGTACTCTGAGTATCCCAATGTCTTCGCCACGTCATCTGACATGATGTTGACATCTGCGCCAGTATCTGCACAAGCTAACACTGTAGCTAGGACATCTTGGTTGTGAAGTGTGATAGGTAAACCTAAGCGGGTTTTCCCTGGTCTTCGTGGTTCGATTACAGGTTCTCGTACTCTCGGAGGCGGCACTGGGGCTGCGACAAGATCCTGTTGAAGTACGGGGGGCCTATCCTGAGGAGCTGAATTTCCAGTATATGTTGTCGAACCAGGCCATACAGCTGGGGCTGTTACAAAGTTGGCGGAAGCCTGATACGGTTTACGTAGTGTTTGCCGCGCTTGTAGACCCTTGCTGTAGACGTTGTACTAACTGAGATCAGAAGCTCTTCTCGTACAAGGAGTTTCGTGGTTACCGTAGGTACTCCGCTGATGTCGTCAACGATCTCCATGCCCGGTTGCACCGAAAACGCCCAACTAGCAGGTAAATGATACAAGACGACGAAGCTGTTTCCAGTGTGTATGAGTCTGGGAAAACTGGCGGCAGTAATGATGATTGTGCATATGGTTGATCAGGGCTGTGTATGCAATAGTGGGGTCACAACACAACCCAAGCCACTGACCGGTCAAGCAAAGCCAGCACACCCTCAGCCTCGGCGCCCGGAGGGCATGATCATGAAATCTCATTCAACCTCTTCTGTAAGAATATGCCGAATGGAATATCCGATCCAGAATCGAGAATCCAACACCTTACCGGCTTTCCATCTCTTGCGCACTTCGTTGCAAGTGACCGAGATCGCACGACGCTATTGTACAAACGTTTTGACGAGCTTGCTGCCAGAAATCTGCTCTACTTGCAAAGTGAGCTCGCAGAGCTTGAGGCAAAACAACGCGCGTTCGACCAACAAGACCTTATAGCCGACCTTGAGACAAAGCAGTGTGCTCGGAATTTCGCAGACTTCCAGAAAGCAGCGCAGGCAAAACATACTATACAAGAAGAGCGATGGCAGCTGATGAGAGAAATCCGCGAGAAGCTGAAAGAATACCGAGAGGCGTTGTTGTTCGAGAGTACTTTAGCAACACTTCCAAGACCACCGAAAGGAGTTTTGCGTGCCTTTCGAAGTGTATTCTACAACGAAAGCTATGGCAAAAGCGAAGCTTTTCCTACCCTTGGTGGACACAGCGCTGGGTTGTACGATGACATCGACGACCTTGTCGCATTACGAGTGCATGATGACCAAGACCGGCTGACCATCTTTGCACAGAAGCATCTAGCCTTCCTATTTCCAGTGAGTAGTACCATTGTACAAGAGATTAATTGCTGTGGTAGCTGACAGAAAGATTGTAGGATCGCAAACGTTCAGGAAACGGTATTGCGTACGCTTCCGACCGCGCCATCAGCTCTTTCGTGGCCTGGTTCAGCACATTCCTTGCAGCACTCCTCCTCATTGGCGCCATTGTCGTGCTTTACAAAGTGACGTCTCCGAACTGGAGACTGGGCTTGATAGCAACTTTCACCAGCTTGTTCGCTGGTAGCGTAGGTCTCTTAACGAATGCGCGAAGAGCGGAACTGTTCGCGGCAACAGCAGCATACGCAGCGGTCCTCGTAGTCTTCGTAAGCGGAGATCTAGGAAACAGTCAATCAAGCACGGCGCCACCAGGCTAGAATGATCAATATGTTGAATTGACGATATTACAATAAATCTGCTACGTCTATATGCTCGCTACGATACCTCCGCTGCTCAAAAAAAGTTCAAGTTTTCAAAGTTTCAAGAACTAGAAGCCGGCCTAGCGGAACCAACAACACTCTCCCTCCTCCCCCAGTTCCTCGGTTGCCGCTTCAAAAACGCACCAACAGCGCCCAGATAACCCTCGTGCCTCAGGAAATAAGCCTGCCGAGTGTCCTTGGACCAGAAGCGAATAGCGTAGGACAGAGTATTCATCGTCTGTGAGTGACCGCCAATGAAGGAGCCACCAAAGTATATCCTAGGCAGTCCATGTTTCTCAGCGTGCAGATGCGCCAGCTGACCAATGTTGTTCGAGACGGCGTAAAGGAGCGAACGCGCCATATCTTCTGGGCGGAAGGAACCAGGGTCATGGGATAGTTCTGAAGAGCCCTCGACGTGCTCTGCTTCTTCTCTGCGCTTGAGATCGCCGTTACATCCATCCTCCGCTTCCCGTTCCGCTGCACGCTTCATTTTGTAGACCTTGCCAAACGAAGATGCAATGTGTGTGCTCTTCAGCCCGATCTTGTTGTACGCTTGCCCGTAAATGTCGCCGACGAGTAGATCGACGTTTCCGTTGTCGCCGTTCTCTGCTAGCCGTAGCATGTCGTCGAAGCTTCGGGCGCCGGTAAGTAGCGACAAGAGACCCCAGAGTGTTCCGCCTCCTAGTGATGTACCGCCTATACGCTCGTATTGCCGGGGTCCTGAGACCTTGATCATGGAGACACCAGAGCCGATGTTGACGAGGAGGTAAGGGTAGATATTCGGCGGATCGGGAGGATGTGGCATGAAGGTCATGGGGCTGTCTTCGCTGTAGGTAAAGACCTCGTTTGGGATTTCGTTGATGAAGAAGTCGAGACCTTTACGTGTCGGTGTTAGCATACCAATCCCTCGAATACAGACAGCACCAAATTCTTACCTATGATCAAGCACTCCATCTCGTCTTCCCTTATGACTTCTACATCCAACGCTTGCTTTATCTTGTCGTGGTACTTGAACGCACCACCACCAGTCGCCATGATGCACAAGTCTGGCGATTTCGATCCATTGTCTTGCTTCTGGTCGGCCTGCAGCTTGCGCATAAACTCTATACACGCATCTATCCGGTCAGTCTCAAACTTGAAGAAGTTTAGACGTCCGCCAGTCGAGTCACCGAGTTCGCGCGAAAAGTATACAAGTTTGGCCAAGGAGCCTCCAATCTACGAGGGCGCGCAGCGCGTTAGCATGCTGTGACTCTGTAAGGGGTTTGATCGCGTGCTACAACCAGTCGCACGCGGCCACGCATATATACTCACATCGACGGCTACATGGCTAACTACCGAAGTGTGGTTCGGCAGTCTGATGTCGTGCGGATCGTGTTCGTAGTCTTCGCTCTGCGGCGTCCCTGGCTGCTCTTCATCTACGATGAAAGCCCCCTGAACGTTGATGCGCACATTGCCCGGATGTTGTATGGTATCCTGAATATCGCTTTGCGCGGTAGTCCGTCTCGGGCGACCCAGCTCCGGGGTCGACGATGTCTCTATAGGATGCGCACGCGATCCTTTGGTGCCGGTTTCACCCGTCGCGGGGTCCAATGCAGGCGACATGGATTCTGATGTTCTGGGTCTTGGCTGCAGCTTCGCCCTCTTACAGCGATGGCGCACACTCAAAGGACGACGGTGTTTAGCGAAGAAGTTGAAGTGTTGGTGTGACTGTGCGAAGGGTGAATGGGGCACTGGAGTCGCTGCTGATAGCGATGGACGTTCCATTTGTCCGCTTTGTAACGGACCTTATGCCCTGGGGAAGACGTGACCTGAAGTTCTGCGCAGAATAGAGCCCAAGGTTAAGCAAATCTCCGGGTCCCCTATCTAAACGGCAAAGGGCGGAGCGCCGAAGAAGAACATATATCTGAGCCATGCTTTTCGGCGGAATGGAGACTGTTTATCTTGCGATGCGTGTCGGTTACCGAGATGGTGTGCAGTGTTAAGCTCGGCAACCGACATGAGGCATGATGGGGTACATCCGAGGACCGACTGGGGAAGTTTGTGGAGATGGCGTATGACCGCTGACAAAACGTCGATGCATATTAGTGAACTAGACGACTCGGTAGTTTCAGTTGTGAGAATTGAAGATGGGCACGATAGGTACGTCTAAAGGGACCGTCACTAGTCATCTAGTTGGGAATCCACGTGCTCCATGCACCATAATGGAAACTTCAAATACGTCATCAAAGACTCCAAACCTTAGCAGAAAAATGGACATGATACAAGCTTCACCTCATTCGTGCCATCGTGAGCCACAATTCGTACCTGCATGCACCCGCGTACCAGGAGAGGGCTGATGACGTCGTGCGCTCGTACCTTCAAATATCCCAACTTCACAAACACCACCGTCTACCTAATACACACCCGAGCTCAAAGTCGGATTCCAATCTCGAACAAGCCATACCAATCATCACCACAACAACCCACCAAATATTTCAGCAAGATGTCATGGATGGACTCCTGGTCCCGGCCTTCCAAGCACGCCGTAACCCCACCACCCCTCTACCTAACCGTTGGCGACACAGTGCCCTACTGCCATAGTTGCGGCCGCGTCATCAGCGAGCGCCGCAAAACGCAAAACGCAACAGAAGTCAAGTACTGCTCTACACGATGCCGAAATAACAAGCCGGGCCCTATCGACCGAAAGATCGAAGCTACCTTTGCTGCACTCCTTGATGGCGCGAGTCCGGAAAGTTTGAAAGAGAATGCAGGGGCAGATCCTATCAAGAAGACTGCAGAGACGGGCAATGCGCATGAGGAGGGGGAGGAGAAAGGTGGCAAAGGTGGAAAGGGGAAGAATGGACATAAGAAGAAGTTTTCCAAGAATAGCATCAAAGGAGATCATAGGATCATCGTCGAATGTAGCACGGTAGAGGACATAGTCTTCCAACGCGAAAAAGATCCCGAGAAAGTATATGGACGACGCAAGAATCGCAAAGCGAGGTTCGTAGTTGAGAAACCTGAGGATTGGAAGAGCGTAGATATGGTCGATCAACCTGCTTCCACCACAGCAACCGCATCTGCTGCTGCTGCAGCAGCAGCAGCAGCGACAAAACCGCCATCACAGGACTACACCAGCGACGAGGAGGACACGGTGTCAGATTCAGACAACGAAGCCGAAGGCGGCGTTGTTCTCGAGCCAACAAAGTCAGCAGACCCTGTTCCGGACGTTGTAGAGTACGGCTACGGCAGTGGAAAAGTGCGGCCACCACAAGACCAAAACGACGTCAATGGCAGCGTCGGCGGAGAAAAAGGCTGGGCCGAACGCATCCACGAGACGGACGAGATGAAACTTAAACGACGAGAAGGGCAGAGGAAGGCTGACGAGAGGGAAAAGGTACGGCAAGCTGCGAGACGGGGGTGTGCGTTTGGTTTCACCGTACCTGACGAGGCGGAGAAGAGGAAGTGCGAGGCTGTTATGAAAGGTGTTGTTGTGGAGAGTAGTTTTGCAAAAGGGGAATGGGGAGTTAGGTGGAGGGAACGTGTGTGATTTACCACAAAGCTTTCTTCCTTAACTGCACTTTTGTTTTGCTAGCTAGAGGAGAAACTGTAATTGTACGATTGAATTGGATAAAAAGCGCTGATATAGCGGACGCACTATGGGGTATCAAGAATAATCAACAAATAAACGCCGCCCTTGTGTCCTTTCATTCACATCCAAACACATCCCAAGAAACTACTCTGGTTCTATTGGACTTTCTCCCACGATCCATCATTGTGCATTACCCATCCAGCGGCCATGAGAGCTCTACCTTGTTTTTCGCCGGGGTGTATGATGTTTTCAAACCCTGATCTAAGACCAGCTCCTGATCTATTATCCATTAGCAAGCCATTTCATCCCCAACGGAGGAGGGGGTATATAACATACCGTATCATATTAATCGCCAGATTCCTCGCTTTATCTTTTAAATTGACCTGATTCCTGTTTCGCAACACGCCACCCCCTTCTTGCTCATCATACTGCAGTATCCTTGAATATTTGCTAGGATATTTGCGCATGTATTCAATCAAAGCTTCTTCCTCTTCGTTCGACCATGCTTCGCGGGATTTGCGCTCATTGCGGCTGTTGCGAGACTGTGTGGATTCGAGAGCGCGATTTTCTTGCGCGAGCTTGCGTTGGTCACGCCATGTGGAGGAAGGTGGAAGCTCGGGCTCTTCGGTCATGGAGGGAGAGGAGGCCTCAGACACGGATTCTTCTTGTTCAGACAAGGGACGGGTATGTGGCTGTGTAGAACGGGGAGGGGGTTGGTGGCTCGGTGGTGCACCGGAGGATGTAGGTGCTGGTGGTCCTTCAGTGCGCTGTCTTTTTGCCCAAGGCATCGCGCGACGACGCACTGGGGCATGGTCGCCACGGTCTTTGGTTTCGAAAGCGTCGGAGTCCGAATCGTCCGACTCTTCACGGCGACGTTTGCGTGGGGAAGGTTCCGCAGTTTGTTTTCCTTTGGCTGTGTTTGACGGGCCGGCTGTTCGCTGTGTGTCCTCGAAGCCATCACCGAATTCGATGCGCTGTGCTGTCGTTTGACGATCGAATATTGATATTGGACGGTTCTCTTTCTGCGGCTTCTGTAAAGCCTTGAGAGCCCTGAGTAGAGATGCAGGACTCTGCGGCGGAGCTGACGGTTGAGGTTCTTCAAAGTCTTCTATCTGGTGTTCCTCTTCGTCTTCCACCGCTGGTTGGTGGTCGATCTGCTTCTCTTCCAAGCGCTTTTCAGAGTGCTCACCCTCGGGTTGCTGGTCTTCGCTTCCAATCAATGTTTGCCATTCTGAATCGTCTTCTTGGTCGTTTCTCTCCGGCTGTTCATGTTGCACTTCTTCGATCGCTTCAGGGCTCTCTTCAACATCCAGTTGAGAATCAGTATCGGGCTCAGTCGTGCTTCCCTGTGCATCTTGCTGTTGATCTTCCAATTCCGGCTGCTCGATTTGCACTTGCACTCCTTCAATTGGCTGCTGGGGCGGAACTTTCTCCCGATTTTGCCGAAAAGCTGTAGGCTCTAAATATGCACCCGAATCACCTTCTCTCGATTTCAGTTTGCTGAGAGCATGCAGATCGACACCAGCGTTTGGATCGAATTTGCGGCTGCTACGTCTTCGGTCGCGACCTATCGAAGTTCGCTTTTTGCGCAGTGACTCTCGTTGATCTTTTTCGACAACAGGCTGAGGATCCTCCACAGCTTGTTTAACGTTCCGCGTAATCTCCACTGATCCACCAAGAGAGTCGATAACAGCTTTGAGTTCCCTCCGTCGAAGACGCACCCAGTCTAAAAGGCGAAGAATAGTTGGCTCCCAAGGAAAGGCTGATTTTAGGTCGTCCAGTTCAGCAATAGACGATCCCTCGCGAAAAAATTCTTGGATTTCCTGCACTCGGTTCTTGACCAGACGTTCAAAATCCTGGGACAAAAATGAATCGTCATCTCCCAAGACTGGTATGTTCCACCCACGGATCGCCCATACACCATCAGACGACTTAGGATGGAGGAAAATCTCATCCAGCGTTTCTTCGACATTAAATTCGGGGCTTTCGGCGGACCTTTGAAGCACAAGTATTGCCAACTGGGTCCGTAACTCTACTGCAAGATCAAGCGTTTCTTGGTATAGCCCACTCTGGCCTGTTTCTGTCGGCTGGAAACCATAGTCGAGGTCCTGCATAAATTGGGCTGGAAAAGTGTTATCCAGTTGTCGCAGCACATCCCAGATGTTCTTATCATCCCGGTTCGAATGGATCATCTGCTTCGCCAACACCAATAAATTGGCGAGGTAGAGAATCAGATTCAGCCCGCTCTGCGATGCCGCGACATCGTCACTCGTCTTGAAAAGAGCGCGGTGAAGCGCTCTGATATGTATGTAGCTGTGTTCTTCGCTCTTGAAATGCTTTAAATGCACATTCAACTCGTCGTTGAGATCCAGATAGTCTTCTGTATAAGTCGAGCCCGGCTTCTGCATCTCTCGTATGTTCTGCAAGTCGTCTGCCATCGTTCCTCGATCAGGCGCAATGTGTTCCAAAAACTCTTCAGCAGAGTCACACAACTTGCGCAAATGCTTCAGGATAAACCTAGGCTCCAGGAACTCGGCTTCGACCATACTGAAAGAGGAGATCGCCGTGGTCCCAGACATTTGGGATGCAGCGCCGGGTGATTGAAAGGACGCATGTTCGGGCTCGGTATCGGTGCGCGTAGGTGTACCTGGGGCTTCTTTGTCTTGCTCGAGGTCAATCTGGGTATCCATTTCCTCAACGACTGTGAGGTCTGGCGCATGTACATGAATTAGCCTGGGGATCTGCCTAGCCAGGAACGGTTCTGGCGCAAGTGGTCAAGTGAGAGCAAGTGACTACTAACCTCCCAGCAGCTCTTTTGCGGAGTTGCGCTTTGTCTTGCGCGCCTTTTGTGGCTCGTATCCGCTCTCATCATTTGTAGTCACGCTTGCTTGTCGCGCGCTTCGGCGGGCGGGTTTCTGGATGTCGACAAATCCCTCAACTTCGCGACTCGCACTGCGCAAACTTCTCGCTCGCGATGCGCGTCCCAATTGCTGGGCAGTTGCCTTGGAAGGTGGTTGGGGAGTAGGTGATTTGCGCCGGCTTGTAGAGCGCACGCTCCTGCGGTCGTCCATTGTAGTATTGTAGGACGCGTGATATCGACTGGTGTTACATGCGACGTGGTCTGCGGATGGTATGTTGCTGGTCGTGTTGATGCGGCTTGTAGACTCAGCTTAGTCTTGACCGTCGGGCGGAACTACTGGTGTGCATACGCGAGTCCCGCCGTTGTTTACGCCAACGCTCCGCGATAGTGGCTGACTAAGGCTGCCTACTCGACGGGCACTCACGTGACTAGCCCGGGATCGCCTTAGCCGTTCGCTGGCTCAGGTGGGCCTCAGCATTCAGCACGGAGAAGGGGCCAGAGTGCACAAGAGAGGTGAATACGAAGTGTTTGAGTTGGAGACGGAACTACGGCACTTGCAGCATGTTTCCGCGCTTCTCCACAGGCTTACTGAACGAGAGACCCCTTAACTAGCACTCCTTGAGTTTGCGCAGCCCTGGACATATTACGTGGGCTGTCTGCACGCACCCCTTGCGCGCATCTCGGTCGTCTTCAACTTGCTTTTACGCTCAAACATTGGTGTGAACCCTACACCGTTCTGTTCAATAATTTGACAACACATATACGTTCCCTTCACAACAACCTCTCCCATTCTCGTCACTCCCTGCAGCCTTTTTGGTCTATTGCTGGGCGCTTCATTTTCGCCGCTGACGGTTCTCGACATCGCATTGCACCCCTGCTCACCTTTCAATCACATTCATCATGAGGTTACGACAGCCACGGCCGCACACTTTGCTTCTCCTCCTACCCGCATTACGAGTTCTTGCCACATCCGTCGCAGTAGATACATCGGACGACAGGCTGCCCGCGCGGGCCGTCGTACCTGCCTACACCCAAGCTACCTATTCGCCTGATGCCTCACTTGCCCCGACAGCTCCTGCGAAAGGCACCAAAGATGCACCGTTCGACGGACTCGACGGCAAGCCGCATGCTGGGCCATACGTGGACGACGACCCGAAATACAAAGGGAAGAAAGCCCCCAATGTTGTAGAAGATCTTGGGTCGGCAAAGAAGCCTGGCGCTTTTTCAGAAACTGTTCTGGTAGACGACGTGAAAGATGGCGACAAGAGCGTCATGCAAGATCCCGCGCGCAAACCGGCCACGGGCACCACTGGCACCGAGGGCGGAGTGTCAGCAAAGGACAAGGAGCGATTGGCACACGAGGAGAAGACGGGCGAGAAGAAGGAAATGGTTCCTGCGTCACCAAAGGAGGCACATCCGCATCCTGCTGACCAGAAGCAATTGAGTGGAGAGGCAGTAGAGACTGCGAGCACCACTCGTGTGCTCGGTGCTGGTGGGCTTGAGGTTAGTTGCAACACTTTTATGCTGACGATTCAGCACTGATCAGACTACAGAAACCCACCGATCTTCCCGACTCCATTCATGACAATCCGCTTCCTGTGCCAGGCTCCGTTTCCACAAAGGATCCTCTAGACACCACCCCGCCCAAGACCCCCTCTTCCACACTTGACGATGTCGACGCCGGCGCCGTACAGCCCTTCCATTCCTTTATCCTCGCTTTCACCATGATCATCTTCTCAGAGATCGGAGACAAGACATTCCTCGTTGCAGCCCTCATGGCTATGCGACACCCCCGCCTCCTCGTCTTCTCTGCTGCTTTCTCGGCTCTCGTCGTCATGACAGTCCTCTCTGCCGTGATGGGCCACGCCGTCCCCGCACTCCTCTCGGAACGCTTCACCCACTTCGCGGCCGCCGCTCTCTTCCTCGTATTCGGTGTCAAGCTTATAAGAGAGGGTCTTGCCATGAGCCCAGACGACGGTGTGGGCGAGGAGATGGCCGAGGTCGAGCAGGAACTCGAAGAGAAGGAACAGCTTGCCCGACACCAGAAGGGCCGGAAATCTTCCATTTCTCCCTACGCCCTAGAGTCCGGTCTTGGTTCACGACGCTCACGATCCAATTCGCGACTTCCTGCCCCCGCACGTAGCCCTTCTACTTCGCCTGATCGATCGCCGTCACCGCGCGGAGGCTCTTTGGGCGGTACCCTGGGCGCTGTTAACAACCTCTTCTCTCTTCTTCTTAGCCCTGCTTGGGTACAGACGTTTGTGATGACATTCCTTGGAGAGTGGGGTGACCGCAGTCAGATTGCGACTGTTGCCATGGCTGCTGGTTCTGACTACTGGTGGGTCACTGCTGGCGCTGTAGTTGGCCATGGGCTGTGTACTGCAGGTGCGGTCATTGGTGGCCGTGCTATTGCCGGAAAGATCAGTATGCGCAATGGTAAGAACATCCGGTCTATACGTCTTAGTACAATGCTAACTTCTCATAGTCACGCTTGGTGGTGCTATCGCTTTCCTCATCTTCGGCATCATCTACACGTTCGAAGCTTTCTACTCCTAAGCAAGATGCACACTTCCAGCATTGCACGGCGCGTCTGGTGGGCGGAAGTACAGATCCTGGACGGTATTAAATCAAACCATTTCTATTTTATGTGATTTCACTTTGTAATTTTAATTGTACCTCAAAATCTACATGGCACGACTGGTAACGGTCAACGGCGTTCTCTCAACTGCATAGAGCAGAGGACGAGGTACAATAGATCTCTCACACACTTGACATCTGAACGTAGTTTCACGTGAGCCCTGACAGTTCGAAACTATGTTTGATCGCCTCTTGAAACTTGCTCAACTTGTTTCATGCCCAGACCATCTGACAAAGTACAAGCTTTCGGGAACGACGCGGGTTCTGGGTCTGCCGAAGGCGTGGCTGTCAGGCGCCGTGGTGTTGAAGATTGCCTTGGCACTGATCCCTGTATTCGCCGCGGAAGAGAGCCGTTGGCCCTTGCAGCTACCAAGCTTCAATGTCCGCGCTTTGAACAATCCCTCTGCTATCCTCGACTCCCACGGCGAACTCAACCACGCACGAAGCCTTGCGATCTCGACCACGTACACAGCTCACCAACAGGATTCTACGCGCTCGCACACATCCACTAGCATCTGTATCGCAACACACAGCCGAACCGGGACATCTACTTTATCCGTGATCTGCGCTACCACTATCGCGCATCGGAACACAGCCTTCACTTTCAGAACCTCTGGTGATGGTATCGACCACAAGCAGCGCAATGCCGCCGCAGCGCGAGCCCCCGAGACCACCACCACCGGCCGTCATCGAGGCTGAGATGCAATGGATCTTCACAGAAGAAGAATTACTCTTGGCGCCGTCCATAATCGATGGAATGCCCGCTGAAGAGGAGCGCACACTACGGCGGAAGGGCGTCGGCTTCATATTACAAGTGGGCATGATGCTCAAGTTACCGCAAACCACTCTCAGTACAGCGGCAGTCTTTTTCAATCGCTATCTCATGCGAATGAGCTTGAAGCCACGGCCCGGGTACAAGCCACTCCATCACTATGTGAGTCTTCTTTATAGATGTACGCGACTTGGACAGGTCTGATGTCAACAGCAAATCGCCGCAACGGCGCTATTCCTCGCAACGAAAGTCGAAGAAAACTGCCGCAAAATGAAAGAACTCGTCGTCTCATGCGTTCGAGTCGCGCTCAAAGACCCCAACAAGCTCGTCGACGAGCAGACAAAAGACTTCTGGAAATGGCGGGACACTATCCTGTACAGCGAAGACGTCTTACTCGAGGCTCTATGTTTCGATCTAAACGTGGAATCACCATACAAGACCATGTACGACATGATGAAGTACTACGGCGTCGAGCACAACAAGAAACTGCGCAACTCGGCCTGGGCTTTCCTCTCCGACTCGACATCCACACAGATGTGTCTACTGTTCACATCGCGGGCCATCGCCGCGGCATCTTTGTACGCTGGCGCGCGCATGGCCGAGGTAGAGCTAGGCGACGATGATGGCAAGCCTTGGTGGGAAATACAACATGTCCAACTGCGCGACATTAGAAGGGCATGTAACCTCATGGCAGATCTCTATGAGAAGTCGCCAGACAAAGATGGGGAGCCGTCCATGTACGCGGGGCTCAGGACGCCAGAGGACGGTATCGATTTTGGCGATACACCCGAGGGTATGGAAGGCGTACAATCGACAAGTCAAAGCCAGCCGCCTGCAAATGGTACCGGTGATGGTAATGTGACAGAAAGAGGCAGCGAAGAGGGTGAACTAGATGGTTAGAAGACCCCCTTTGAGTGGTTGACACCTAGTCTACTGGTGATGGATGAGAACGGCAAGGAAGACCTTGGAAAGCTCAAATTGAGCCGTCTTGAATTCCAGGGAACCATGCGCTACCTCAGAATGATGCGACAGAGAGAAGAGCAGCTCCGCATTAGGCGGGCTTGCAGTATTGCCTTTCTAAATGATTGAGTAAATGGACCAGGCGTTTTGGAATGGAGGACTGATGGATGGATGGAAAGATACCACTAACCCGCATTACACCCCATTATTACTATGCGCGTAGTCACTTGAATACTATTGATGATCAAACAAGCTGGATCTTTGTTACGTGCTTTCTAAGATACGCGGTGTTCTGTGCTACAATGTACAATCGGAAGAGTAAGCATAGAAGTTAGAGACGTTTTGAGTCACTTCCACATGCAGCTGCTGCTAAGGATCGACCCCCACGTGAGCGTATGGACCGTATATCTCGCATGATCTCGTGCATGACTCGTGGGGCTATGGGCCGAGGCATCATTAAGTGCCGCGTCGACGGCCTAGTAGTGCGACGTCAACACTCTGGTCGCCACTAGAGTAACTTCTTTTTCTCCTTAATCTTGACTATAGACTATAACATCTTCACAATAAACCAAGACATTAGCTTTCAATCGACATTATCTCAACTACACAATCATTCTCGTCATCATCGAACTCGACTCGTGCAACTTCCTCCGCGGAACATTGTAAACATGGACTCCTCGCCCTCAGCCCTGATCAAGTTTCTCCTTCCCAAAACACCGTTTTTATTAAAGACGGCACTATGGCACTCTATATCCATGTCCCCAACGTCTTCGAAATGGGACCTACGCACGGAAATGACGGTCAACATGCTTCGCGACATGCTGGGCCCTAATTCCACACCAACACCCATCTCAAAGCTACAGCGTCTAACATGCAAGGACCCAGGTGTCAAGGGAAAGGTCTGGGTCAGCAAGGTCCAACAGAGCGCACCAGAAGAAGACAATGTACGGCAGATGATGTTCAAAGCTATTGAAGATATGGGAACTGGGGAAGAGGCCTGGACGAAGCCTGAGCAGCGGCCCTTGGAAGCAGAATGGAACGGGTACCGCGCAGATGCCAAGAATGATGAGCCAGAACCCTCATCCATGAGCGAGGCAGAAAAATACGAAAATCTGGTAAAGGAAACGAAGAGTAAAGTCACATTACTCTATTTCCACGGCGGCGCAATGTACCTCCTCGATCCAGCGACATCGCGTCCACTCACAGGCCGTCTCGCAAAAGAAACGGGTGGCCGCGTCTTCTCCGTTCGGTACCGCCTCTCGCCCCAAGGTCCTTTCCCCTCTGCGCTACTAGATTGTTTCACGGCATATCTCACACTACTCTCACCACCACCTGGTTCTTTCCACGCGCCCATCCCCGCCAGCGAAATCGTGTTCGGGGGTGACTCAGCAGGCGGAACATGCTGTACCGCCTTGCTCCAACTACTCCTTCAAATCCACCGTAGCACTCCTGCCGGCCAAACGCCCAGCGTCCGCTTCCACGGCAAAGACGTTGAGATTCCCTTACCAGCCGGTCTTGCCCTGTCGTCACCTTGGATGGATATAACGCGCAGTCTGCCCTCCGTCGAAGGAGGAGTCAAGTACGATTACCTCCCTACGCCCAGCCAAGTCGATTCCCGCGAGTTTCCCAAAGACGATGGCGTGTGGCCCTCCAACCCGCCGCGCGCAGACCTTTATTGCGAGGGTAGTGCATTGATGCATCCGCTTGTGAGCCCTCTCGCCGCAAAAGATTGGTCCAAAGCCCCACCGCTTTTCTTCTCTGTGGGCGAGGAGATGTTGAGAGATGAGGGAGCTGTCGTGGCTCAGCGATGTGTGAAGCAGGGTGTGACGGTTGTGTGGAGAGACTTTGAGGCTATGCCGCACTGCTTTGGCATGCTGATTGAGAGTAATCCTGCTAGTGCCGTTCACTTTGAAGAATACGGCGGGTTCTGCAGGGATATCGTTGAAGGCAAGAAGGTACAGAGCAATGGTGTGTTTATTGAAGCGAAGACTTGTGAGAGGAGTGACATGGATGTTACGAGTGGGTTGACGACGATTACGGATGAGGAGGTGGTGGGGTACATGCAGAAAGGGAAAAACAGGATCGAAACAAAGTTCAACAAGGGACAGGATCCATCTAGTGAGAGGCCTATGCTCTAAGTTGAGGCTGTGCACTTTTGTCGATTCGAGTGGTTCCGCGGGTTGCGAATACCAGGGCGTTTCTTGCGGATAGACTTTTTTTCATGGGGATAATACACCAATTTCGAATGTTCTCATGACTGCATTAGTCATACTTGTAAGAATTTTAGATGGTTATGGTTCAATATCCCCTTCGTTTGGTACCATTTCTATTCCCTGCCAATACCGTGGTTTTAAAAGGCAAATCATCGTTTCCAGCAAATGGGAACTCGTCACCCATGCAGAAACTCCCAGTGTCAGCATTCGAATATTCTCACCCAGGGTCCTTGCCCGAATTATTCCACTGTTCTTGCCCAACCGATGCCACTCTTTCCTGCCCAAGCAGCTCCACTGTTTCTTGCCCAACCGACTTTAATGGTTCTTGCCCAAACGATTCCATGGTTTCTGTTAGCATGAAGTATAAGAAGCATACTTTCCTGCGAGGAATCATGAAACCTCCACATCATTCCTCCTAAAGAGCTCGTCCTGCTCCGTCAGGTTCTAACAACCAACAGGCCAGTCTTTAACCTCGCGCGGTTACCTCAAGACCCGCTTCTCGTGGCAATGGTACTACTACACCTTTCCGCAATCATCCGTGGTCCTCTGGTCATCTACAAGCATCCCTTCTTTCCATAACCGATCGTCACAAAACTCTCACAAAACATCACGATGAAGTTCCTTGCCACCATCATCCCCCTCACCTTCCTCGCAGCCACGGTCCTCGCAGGTGATTGCATGAAAGCACCTTTTCAATGCAAGGGTATGTCTCTCACCTGTACCACCGCCATTCTCGTCACCCTCTTCACCACTACAGCTTCGGCGACTGAGTGTACAGTACCTGTTCTCTGCACCCGTAGTATGCGTCATCTCCTCCATTCCCATATACATCTCCCCTCCTTTGAAATCATGATAATGTCGCTAACACAACTCTCCAGGCGTCGGTAAATCGCGGCTCATAGCAAACATACCCGGCTTTGAAGAATTCGGCGACTCTTACAGCAGCATCGAGTGTGCCCAGGTAGACTGTGGGCGTACCTGCCGACGGAGTCTAGAGTCTTGTCGTGTCCTCTGTGATGGGGATGAAGACGTAAGTATACCTCGATACCAGGAGGAGTTATCTCCTTCGAAAGCGCAAGATAGCTGACGCCAAAACCAACATAGCTGCCCCGCTGCGCCATCGGTGTCTCACCCCTTCCCCCAGGTCGTCACGATATCGTCCACACCATACCCACCAACTACACGACCACCCATCTCAGCAAGAACAACACGCACCCACCCATACGGGTCGTCTGAACTGCGCGCTTACCAAGCTCCAGCGATGGTTTCTTTCTCCGCCGTCCTCATCCTAAGCTATCCATTACACCCACCTCCTTCACGCTCGCCATCCTCCTCCACTCTGGCTATCCTCTCCCCAGCACGACAGAGTTTAACAAGATTACCCAATTCTTTCGAACAAGGAAAAGAACTCGTTGGCTCTGTCAGTGTAGCGCCCGTGCGGCCCAGAACATCTAAGGGCATCACAGACCTGTTATTGCCTCAAACTTCTATCAACTTGAGTTGATAGTCTCTATAAGAAGCCGGCGACCAACCAAAGTTAGCCTAGCTACTTAGCAGAGTAAGGTCTCGCTCATTATCGCAATTAAGCAGACAAGTCACCCCACGAACTAAGAACGGCCATGCACCACCACCTGAAAAACTCCACTCTGGCTATCCTCCTCTTCTCGCCTCTCCTTGGCGAGGAAAGATCGACAAGCACCTCTACCACGAGCTTTACTACCTGTCTAAGGACATAGACGTCCTATACACCTCGGTTGCCCGCCATCGACATCTCTCTGTAATGGGACCACCGATCCAGATCCGCTCTCCTGTCTACATCTCACACTACGTCTGTCTACATCTCACACTACGTCTGTCTACATCTCACACTACGCCTGTCTACATCTTAAGGTTTTAAAACACTCTTCTTCCAATTTCGACGAGAGTTTCCTCTGGCTTAACTCTATTCAAGCATAGTTCACCATCTTCCAGGTCCCAACAGCCATGCTCTTACTCAAATTCTTCCGAAGACATCAGGATCGGTCGATGGTGCACCCTTGCGGGTTCCTACCTCCATTCACTTTCATTACGCGCTCGGGCTTGACATCTAGACACTCGCATAGCTGTTAGACTCCTTGGTCCGTGTTTCAAGACGGGCCGCTTACAGCCATTACGGCAGCATCCTAGCAGATGCCACACCATCCCTATTTCCAAGCTATACATCGTCAGTCTCCAGGAGGAGAAGCCGGACAACATCAGAAGCCGGAGAACATCACACCAGAAGCTAGAGAACATCATATCTTCAGCCGGCGCTTAAGACTGTCAACAGTATTTCCAAGCACACTAGCATAACTACCCTCGAGCCCGCGAAACCCAAGCAGCTTCCTACTAGAGAACGTCACATCTTTAGCCAGAGAACATCACACCAGGAACCCGATCATGAAGCACATCTATTACTCCATCCTTGTCCCCAAGCTACCTTGCGCCAGCGGTGTTGGCCACGTCGCGCCTTTCTCAGATTGATCATCCTCGCGGCCGATACATCACTCTGTGGTAACTTTTCTGGTACCTCTAGCCTCACATTTCGAGGAACTCTAAAGGATCGATAGGCCACATTTTTATGGTTTGTATTCACACTAAAAACCAAAATCAAGAGGACTATTGCCCTTTTGCTCTACTGAAGATTTCTGTTCTTCATGAGTCCCCCTTATGACACCTCCGCTTCATCGAATAAGTAAAGGAACAATAAGGGTAGTGGTACTTCGCTGGCGCCGAAGCTCCCACCTATCCTACAACTCCTTGTGTTATTCCCAAAACAAAACCAATGGCGTTGGATATGGCCGACTTCCTGTTCAAAACATCTAGTCCAGGATACCATGGTGTAGAAAGCAGATGTGGCGAATATCATGCCGCGCGTTCTGCTCTTCTCTCAAAACTCGCATCCGCTTTGCTATCCTACACGCTCGCTATCACCTTCCGCAACCCCTACAAGTTCAAGCACAACACCTACAAGTTCAAGCACAACACCTACAAGTTCAAACACAACACCGAGACCTTCATCACCAACGAGGGCATGTACACCAGCCAGGTTAGTTGGCGCATTCTAGACTGCTGGACATGGGACAAGATCTAACATGGTACAGTTCATCTACGCCGGAAAGAACGCTGCGCTCACCATCGGCAGCGTCCTTCACTTGTCCCTCCTTTGCAAGGACAAAAACGTCTCCTACGTCTACGTCCTATCCAAGAAGGCCTTAGAACTATCCTGCAAATAGTGGTGGACCGCGGAGTGCACTCTGTGCCAACAAGTAAGAGATATCCCTGTACGAACTGAATATGAGACATGAATTGACTTTGTATACCCACACTTTAGGTGCAACTTTGACGCTGATACGCCTTTATGCCTCGCCAACACATTGACAATCCACTCGGCTCCGCCAGCGCCCAACCCTCCGCTCCCACAGCTCGACCATACTTGCGCACCGGTTGGAGTTGACTGCTCTACAGTGTGCAGGTACGGCAAGGACACGTGGGATGATGAGGAATGCTTTTTTGATTGTGATGGGCAACTAATAGTATGAAGCTTTTCTCCTCCTTTCTAGCGTTGGGATGCGATTTGCTAATGTGTTAACTGTAGTTTCCTACTTGCGAAGTGGAGGATACAACCCAGAATACGTCTACCATCGACGGGCTTACGATCTGAAGAAAGAGCTCTCTCATATTGTTATTGGTACCTGTCATACCCACTGGTGTACTGCCTATATAGCCAAATAATCCGTAGGATCAATGCATCACTTCTATACTCCAACACTATCCACAGGCCTGAACCAAATACATAACAAGCATGAAATAGGGATAGACGAACACAAAGATTAGGTCTGAGGAAATGTGTATCTACATGGACCATTAGAAGGAGCTCACATCTGAGCTGGAGTTTTTGTCTTGACTTGGACTATCGTGTAGATGTTTGCAAATCATGATGTTCTTTGTGCATACATTTACCTCAACATTAGATCAACTCTAGGTGCCGTGAACATAGTTGCAGCAGCTTTCTAGATATCTCCCTGAACCACAAATGACGAATCCTCCTCACCTCTTTCCAAAAGGTACTGTAATTATTGCTTCTCGTCGCCGTAATTCTGAAGTGTTAAAACTCCACAGAATTTCTCAGATGAAAACCAGGGTCTCTAGTACGTGTCATCTCACAGTCATACACAAGCTATGAATTTCATAGATTCATCACACAGATCTTTGGACCAAGTCTTCCTAAACGTATCCTAACAGAGGGATGTAAAGAGCTCTTGAATTTGCACGTTTGTTTCCATCACTTAATCCCCGACCAACTCCCACAATCCACGGACACGACTGAAGAACCCAACATGAAGTCGCTACACACCAGCATCCTCCTTGTTCTCCTCGCCACAGCTACACCAGCTAAAGAAATTGTCTGTTATGCGTGGTGTAATCGCTTTCGTACGTACTCCCACCATCTTATCCCCTCAAGAATTGTAACTGATCTAGTTCTTCTTCTTAGCTGACCGCAAGGTCCCTTCCAACAGAGACTTGCCGTATCGCATCCCACGCCTCGTTTCTGATACTGGAGTCTACCGCAAACTCGACTGTGCGGTAGTAGACTGCAGCCGTACCTGTCGACGAAGCCTGCAGGCTTGTAACGTTCTCTGCCGTGGGAACGAAGACGTTAGTATTCTTCCTGCCATGATGCATACAGTCCATTCTACTAACTACAAATTCTCATGTAGCTGCCTCTCTGCGCTATGTTTGAGACTGAATCAGAAGGCATGCCCGAAACCGATTAAAACAAATATACAACGAGCGAGTGATAGCAATAGATAGGGAAACCCTAGTATGGAGACCGTACAGATCAAAAAATCGGCATCGCTTTACCATGTATCCATTGATCGGATGGACATGCTTGTACTAGAACATAGGCACGGCCACCCACCAATAAGATTTCCACAATCATCGTAATCCTTTTCACCACTCCCATAACAAATCTCGCACATTTCTCCTCTTCTAACCCTCCCTCCCCTTTCCCTATAGACAACTAACTCCCACCATCCACCCCCTTATCCTTTGCCTTCCCACTCCTCCGTCTAGCCAACCCCCTATCAATACTACTCTCAAGACTCGTTCCAATCCCTGAATCCGTAAAAACCCCCTCCCTCTCCACACCCCTAGGAATCGGCTCTTCAAGAATGAAATCGTCATCTTCTTCATCATCAGCCTCCATCATCTCCTCTCTTGTCGGTATATCTTCCAGCCTAGGAGACCCGCGTTCTTCTTCTTCTTTGGGTGATTTAGGCGACAGCGGCGAGCTATACGAGAGAGGTTGCTGAGAAGGTAGTGTGGGGAATGTACGGGACGTGTCGCTGTAGGGTGTGTCTGGTTCGGAGTAGTCGCCTTGTTCGAGTTTGGGAAAAGGTTCGCTTCCTTGTTCGGTTTTGATCTTCTTCTGTTGCTGGTTCCCTTCGGCCGGTGTCGAAGCAGCACCACTGAACAGCAGCGTAAAAGCCCCCCAGGTAAACAGCAAAACACCCATCTCCATGCCCCAGAAGGTAAGAATGCCGATGATCGCACTGGTGACCCAGTACCGGTACATCAGCCAACGAAAGCCTTCCAGCTTCGCACTAATCCTGACCTGTGCCCTGTAAACCTCAATTGGAAGCTTACTTCGTACTTCCAGCCTCAAACTACTCGGCACATTCCGATACCCAGATTCAAACATGACGCCTTCCATCATGCTAATCTCCACAAACTCAGATTCTGTATGCCACCCCACCAGATAGAGCGGCAGCCTCAACCCCCTATACACCATCTCTAGCACGCGACTCCGATACGTCAAAAGCACCGGTCTGCGACTTCTCGCAAGAACAGTAGGCGTCTCGCTCGTCGTCCCCTCCGTAACAATCTTCTCGGCCGTAGCACCCGGTACACCACCTTGACTATGATCTTCAACGCTCCACTCCTCGTCCCAGCCAAGGAGATGCTTCACACCCTGTCCTATCGTCGTGGGGCCCCGGAACTCGAGTCCCACCATCCAGTTGCCGGCTTGCAAGTTGGTCTTGCTCCTCGGGACGACCATTTCGACAACGACGTCGTACTTTTGGCGGTCTACGAGGCCGGGTATGTTGGCGAGGCCGTAGGGCCATTTTGCGGGCTTGCCGGTTGGGAGGCTGCTGCTGCCATCTGGGTAGGTGGTTGTGGGAGGCAGGATGGTGGGGCCGTGGTCGAATTGGAGGTATACGGGTACGGAGATGCCGCGCACGGGTATGTAGTTGTAGTAGAAAGACGAGTATGCGACGACGGCGAAGGTGAAGAGGATGGTGGAGGTGATGAAGAGGAGGATGGTGCGGAGGTACGTTCGTAGCAGAGCTGGCGATGTCGCGATTCGGAGGGGAAGGAGGAGTGTGTCCTGGGTATTGTGAGTACGCGTTGTTTGGGGCGCTGGGTTGGTGACGAGCGATCGAATGACATGGTGGTGTCGAGCGATGCACGCAACAGGGCGATCTTGTCCTTACCGTAGCAATCTTCAGAATCGGCCTATCTTCGCGGAAATCATCCTTGAGTTCCTCCATGGCGGTAATGTGGGGGTAACTGCCGGCTACATGTTTCGGTGGTGTTGGCATGTTCTCGCGCGGGCGATCTTCACATGCAGGGAGCGAGCGAGCTTTGGGCTGAGCGTGTGACGTAGTGTGAGCACAGACGATATATACACACCACGCTAAGCATCCCAGCATCCCAGCAACCCAGTGCCAGCATCCTGACTCCCGCAGAACGGTGATTGCGCCATCATGCAGGAACAAAGGGATGAACCTGTGATGTAGTGGGATAACTATCAGACATCTAGCGCCATATTGAAGATCTCCTTATGCCATGCATACATCGCAAGATCAAGTTGTTTAACATATTTCATTCTTCGCAAAAAAAAAAACTACCGTTCCATACTCGATACCAATAATCCTACACGACACACACACACACCTCTCAAATTGACTGACAAAAGAGAAACCAAAACAAGACGCGACATGTCTGTGAGCCATCCGTCGACCTCAACGCCATCAGGTCAACAGTCTGCCAAACTGTTAAGACCTAAACGCCAGAGGGAAGCAACAGAACCCAGCTCGTAAAACACATGGTATCATCCCTAAAGACCTTGTACTCCTTCTGAAAGGAAGCGACGAGGCGAGGCGAACAGCGAAAACTAAAACACAAAACATATTGTACTAAACCAAAGAAACTCCGGCCCAAACAAAGGAAATTCGTGAAGACGCGACTGAGGCTGCACTAGCTCGAACGATGCCGCCGCGTTGCCGCAAGGAAAGTTCTAAGCCAGACGCCTCGCTCAACTTTTTATCAGACCATCTATGAAAGACCAAAAAAAAAGAACTTTTTGAGGGTATGCAAATGCATGTAAAAGTTCGTAATAACAACATAGCCGCAGGAACGGCTAGAAGACAAAAGGCCGTAGATATCGTAACGTCGTTCGCTCAGGAAAAGGTTCCCATCTTAGGCGGTCCCTTCTTTGGCGAATCCAAGACAGACTTCTGCAACCGCGAGTTGGCTTTCGTGACACCCGACAGAGGTGAGCTGCGGGTCATAGTCATGTCCTTCTTCAGAGGTGACTTGGCGACTCTGTTTGACCGAACGCGCCTTCGGACAGGAGTAATGAGAGCCTCGGCAGACTTGCCAGACCGGACAGGACGAGAAACCGAGGCGCGCGCCGCAGGATCCGATGGCAGAGACGCAACATCGCGATACCGGTTTTGGTTGCTGCGGAAAGCAGTGACGACGCCACGGTCAAAATGCTCGAGCATGACATCAGACGTGGTTCTTTTGCGATGAGGCGTGGCAGTAGCAGGCGCTGCTGGGGTGGAGCCGTGGTGTCCCACATTGGAAGTCGCAGGTGTAACTGGCCTGTCGGTCTCGTCGAACTCGTCGTCGTCGTCTAGATCAGTATCTCCACCTGACTCGCCAAAGTCCATGAAGTCGGCGATATTGAGATCATCGTCGTATTCGTCGCTCGAAGAACCCGTCTCATCTTCGTCAACGAGGCCCATGTTACCATTGGAAGATATGCTTACGAATGGGTAGAAAGCCTCTGGGGGACCAATGCTCTCGTTTCCGAACGTGAAATCATTGCCCCCAGCTGATCCAAAGATGCCACTAAGCATGATGTCGGTGCTGAGACCATTGTTGAAGACCTCATTGCTCTCGCTGTCAGAACCGTTGAGCTGAGCAATGGAGTTACGAGGAC